TATTGCACAACCATCTAGTTTGGCTCATTGGAACCAATCTCCATCTCTCTTGGCCTTTTTTACACATAAATATTATACGTGTTGTTTTCATTAGCGTACATAATTGATGGGAATATGCATTTTTATAAAGATAGAGAGAGAACCAGTTTTCCTTTTTAGTAACTTTAATTCCACTTTCCATCAAAGTAAGGAATAAATAGGAAAAAACTTCTCCAATAATTAATTACCATAAAGGTAATTTATAAGTTTACCAAATAATATAATATTAATCTGATATCTATTTTATTTAACCACCAAATAATAAAAGTAAATCACGTGTCCAAATCATGTAGGTTACATAATTAATAAATAATTTTACATTTCAAACCTAGTATTAGCATTGTCATTTGTTGCGGTGCGGTGGCTGAGGAAGTGGTGTCATCACTTTGATGATGCATGCCAAAACAGCAATGTTCTTCGAATGGTGGGGGCTTCTTGCGTACAAAATGTTGTGGTATTGGTGGCATTCAAACCTCACTTGAAATGGTTAGAGCCAATGCCAAGAAGATTAATAGGGACAAAGGGTTGTTTTAGTATGTGACCGTGAAAGAGCATAAAATTATCAACAATATCTTGCACAAAATTTTAAAGGTGTGTACGAGTTATATGGAATTTGAGTTTTTGAATTGAAATTAGAATTGGTGGGATTTGAGAAAATTTCGGTTCAATTTTTTTAATTATTTTTCTCAAATTCCAATTCTAATGCTCCAATTCATGCAACCTAACACACTTCCGAAGATATTTGGGATTAAAAAGGGCTATGTTAATCTTTTTTATGAATAACAATAAGGTGACCTACTTCTTTACCATCTCTGCTTGACCAGTGCACTCCAAATATTTTAAATCACTTGTATATAGTACTTCTTATTTGAGAATGAGGAGTTTATACCATTGAACTAGATGTCCGTTGATATTTGTACATAGTACTTCATCCATACAATTGTTGGAATTTTGAAAAAATGGAAAATAAGTATAATTAGGACTTGATTCTCATTATGGAGAACTATACACCAACAGTTGAAAGGTTGGAAAACTACCTGCTATATCTTCTATCATATACTCTCTCTGTCTTATATTAGTTTTCCACTTTGAAAATTTTAACTCACTACCATTTTTTATTTTAAAGTTATTTGAGATCGTTTTTAATCATATTCATTTTATATTCTTATATACTACCTCTATACCATATTGATGTCCATTTCGAAAATTTTGACTTACAATTGTAAGTCAAAGTTTCTGAGGCAAACATCTAACATGGGAAGGAGGTAATAAATATTATATTTGGGGAGAGAGGAATAGTAGAATTAAGACAGAAGAAAGGAAAAACTCCATCTCCATTCACATTAAGGCCGGAGTCTCGTACACTCAGCTAGTTCTTTAAAAGCCTACCGAAACAATAACTGGATTTGAGTAATAAAATCGCCATGCCTTTTTTCTTCAAAAGCCTACTATACATGCAGATAATCGAACTTCTTCAAAGTACAGAGAGTTTTAAAATACAGTGAAATGTTATTAATCAATAACTGTTTTTATTCTCGACTAATATTTTGAAACTCAGCCTAGTAACGAATATATTAGTTTAATTTTAATATTTAAACAAGATCGTCCAGTGTAGCATATTGGCAAATCTGTAGAAATGATTCCAGGTTCAAATCTCGGCAGTGGAGTAATATTTTTTTGTTTTTAATACCTCTAAGGCCCAATAGAATCCAGACAATCCAGACATGATTTCAAGCCCAACAAAACGGTACAATAATGGGCCTTGTCCAAAGCTGAATATCGTCGTAATAAAGTTAAAATGTTAAAGTAAATAAGATTAATTTCGTTAACTTGACAAGAAAATAAACTGTAGTACATTCGCAAATCTGTTGAAATGATTCCGGGTTTAAATTCCGGCAGTGTAAATACATTTTTTTTTTTTTTTTAAATATCTCTAGGCACAATAGAATTCACAAAAATGATTTCAACCCCACAAAATCAAATACTTTGGCAATTCTGATTAAAAGAATCCAGGTTCAAAATCCCGAAACTCCCAGAATGCTCGAATTCTCTACCTTTTAGTTATGCTAAACCCAATAGAAATCAGCCAACCACCACCACTAGGCCCAATAGAAATCAGCCATATGGGCTTCACATAAAGTGGTGTAACCATTGATCAAGTACAAGCTTAACAAGAGGGAAGTTTTGAATCCCATTCTCTTTCCCTGAGGCCAGCCTAACAGGAGTTCTCCTAAAATGAAATTGATGAGCTCCACATGATGTCATCTCACTAATATCTATGGATATTCTTTTTTTCAATGCGTCATTCTTTTTAAAAAAATTGTCTGCAATGATAACGTTAGGCTATTGAGCACATATAGTCTTCCTATTTTACATATACTTAGTAATTATTTTCTATGAAGTTCTAAGATAATTCAAACTTTCAACCTTCCGAATGTGAGATACTGGTTTGGAGTTCTTTCGGATAAGAAAATGCATGCTACATATAGTTTCATCTCAATAATATTTATCAATGACTTTCTTTCGATGCATGCTTTTTATTTATAGAAATATATTTGTTGAGAATGGTGGTGTCAGACCTCCTATCCACATAATTTACTATCTGACACATGATGTCCTCCCAAAACTCTCTAAAAGTGGCTCTAAGAGAATTCAAAATTTTGACCTTCGGAACGAAAATAATTAAGTTTATCATATGGAGTTCTTTCATATTGGCTGTGCAGTTTAATTTGATGTTTTGAAAATTAATTTCTTAGAAACTTATCATATAGATTAAGTAAATTCGGATCACATCCCATAAAACAAGAACAAATAGATTGACTAGCATTCATGGAAGGATTATTCCCATTTTTAAAAAATAAATAAATAAATAAATAAAAATAAAAAAACACAGATCCAACAAAAGAGATAAAGGATACCCCTATGGCCTCTAGTTTGAGGCGTTCAAATATTATCGGTAATTTTTTTTTTTTTTCCATAAAGAAAAACAAACACGTGCTAACATGATGTCATCTCACTAATATGTATTGGGAATATTTTTTCAATGGGTGTTTTTCATACACATACAGGCTCCCATTTTACATGCACCTAGTGTTGAGGTTGTGGAGCTGCTATCTCAATTGATCAACACAAGCTTTCACTTCAATCAACACATCACATTATTGAGATTCCGGGAGCATGAAAAATCCCGCTTGAACTTAGACTAAGTAAGCTCAATCGAATAAATTTGCTTTTGGCTCGATCGAACATTGGAATATTTCGATCCATCAAAATCGTAACAAGTTCGATCAACATAGATAAAAAGTTGAGAGATTTGTTTCCTAAATTGAATATTTACTTTCAAAAGGCTCTTAGACATGGAGATCAAGTTGTTTCCACATAAATATTGGGTTTTGTATAAATCCCACGAGTGATATGTGGGTATCACATTGTGTAGAGACATATACACGAGAAATTGTGAGATTGATGCATTGTGAGATAGATTGATTGTGAGATAAAAAGCAGATCGTATAGAATTTTTCTTGTAAACATCCATCATTATTGTTTATAGTGAATATTTCAGTTCGCTAAGTGGATGTAGGCAAAATAATTATGTCGAACCACATAAACTCTTGTGTTCCTGTGTAATTCTTGTGTTTTGCATATTTTTTTTTATCATATTATTCCCTAACGCCAAGTAATTACCAAAAAAAAATAAAAACAAATATCTTGAACGTGATATAAATTAAGTAATGTGGAACTTAGCGTAGTAACGAATATATTAGTTCAATTTGACCATTTAGACAAGATCGTCCACTGTAGCACATTGGCAAATCTGTTGAAATGATTCCGGGTTCAAATCCCGGCAGTGGAATAATTTTTTGTATTTTTTATACCTATAGGCCCAATGGAATCCAGACATGATTTCAAGCCCAACAAAACGATACAATAATGGGCCTTGTACAAAGCTGAAAATTTTAGTAATAAAGAAAAAATGTTACAGTAAATAAGATTAATTTCATTAACTTGATAAGAAATTCAACTGTAGTACATTGGCAAATCTGTTGAAATGATTCCGGGTTTAAATTCCAGCAGTGTAAATATATATATATATATTTTAATATCTCTAGGCATAACATAATTCACAAAAATGATTTCAATCCCACAAAGTCAAGCACTTTGGCAATTCTGATGAAAAGGATTCAGGTTCAGAATTTTAGAACTCACAATTCTCTAACCCTCTACTTCTTACTTATCGTTAGGCCCAATAGAAATCAGCCAACCACCACTAGGCCCAATAGAAATCAGCCACATGGGCTTCACATTAACCCGAAAGTGGTGTAACCATTGATCAAGTTCAAGCTTAATATTTAAAATAATAAATAAAAAAAAAGGTACAAGCTTAACAAGAGTGAAGTTTTGGATCCCATTCTCTTCCCTTGAGGCCAGCCTAACAGGAGTTCTCCCTGGAATGAAATTGACGAGCTCCGCATGTTGTCATCTCACTAATATCGATGGATATTCTTCTTTCAATGCGTATTTTTTAAAAAAAAAATTATCTGCAACGATGACATTAGGCCATCGAGCACATATAATCAATGCCGGATCTAAGGTTGGGTTGGGCTAGGCTCCAGCCCACCCCAAATTTACTTATTTATTTTTTAATTTTTATAACTATAGGTAAATTTAGCCCAGTCAAAAAAAAAAAAAAAAAAAGAGGTAATTACACTTATCTTTTTTGGAGTTAGGCCTAATTACAGGTGGTACCCCTAACGTTTCAAATGTTACACTGACCTCCCCACAAACTGATCGACATTTTATTCCGGCCATTGACCATGTTAAATGACTAAAACACCCTTCAATATTTTATTAATATCACATAAAGAATATCTTTGATTTGAAATTACTAAATTGTCCCTAATAGTTTTGAAGGGAAAAAAACTGATGGCTAAGTCCCATCATCTGCAACCCTTTCATTTCACTCATTATATCAGGCAACCCATTTATTTCCTTTATTTATATCAGAACCATTTTATTTCCTTTACACATATCATACAGCCGGTTCGAGAGAGAAATAGAAGAAAAAGATGGAGAAGCACAAAGGTGAAGAGTTTGATGCGCTGTCTTTCAAACCTTAGATTTCTAAAGACTTTGATCTTCTGTTCTCTTTGCTAGCCGTTACATAACCCATAATCGTCCAACAAGTAGGCATCGGTGTAATATATTTTCAAAAGCACGCATCGCTGGTGAAGGTAAGCCTAATTTTTTTCAGTTTTGCTATTCTTGTTGAGGTCTTAGGGTTTTTGTTTTAAAGATATATAATAGGTTCCTGTTCATTGCTATTTTGTTATGCATGTCTATTTTCGCAGTGATTTTTAGAGTTTTCGTTATAGTTTTTCATGGTTCGTTTATGATATATATATGTGTATATATATATATATATATTGCCTAATTTGTATTCTGATTTTGTCGTATTAATATGTAACGAGTATAGTTGTTTATAGTATGAATTTTCTTTTTTTTTGAATCTGGATTTTTTTTATATGCATCGTAATTTTTTTTTTTGAATCTGGATATTGTTGGATAGGTTCTTCGACAAGACATAATTGACACTTATATCTAGTATGTAATTATTGTCAGAGATTTTTTTTTTTCGTATCAACACTTATATCAGTTGTTGGATAGGTTTTTTTTATATGCATCCTAATTTTTTTATTTTTTTTATTTATAATTTTTTTTTTTTTTTTATGCAACGTTGTTTCATAATCTGGATTTTTTTTTTTTTGTTTACAGTATAGTTGTTCACAGTGTTTGGTTTCTAAAATTTTAGTGAAAATTACCATATTGAAATAATTTAGTGAAAAATCATTATATATATAGAATTTTTTTTCTATATTGATATGTGTTGAGATTACCATATTGAAATAATTTAGTCAAAATTCATTACATATATAGAATTTTTTTTTTTCTAAATGTTTTTTGTATTCTATATATATAATGAATTTTGACTAAATTATATCTATATCTTTTATTTTAGATTACCATATATATAATGAATTTCCACTTACTAGATTTTTTTTTATAATTATCCTAATGTTTTTGTGTTTTGATTTTTCCATATTAATATGTGTTAGACTAAGAAAATTGTGCTGTTATTTTGAAATATGCATGTGATTTTGTTATATGTATCCTAATGTTTTTTCTTATGTGGTATAAACAGATGGCAGATTCTGATTGCATGACATTATTGTGCACTAGAAGTCCACTATGAAAGGAATTTATAATATTGACCCTGATAGGTACTGTTTTATTGATTTGATGGTTGATGTTTTACAAGTGTCTTTAGAAAATTTACCTGCATAATTAGGAGTCTCAATTATCATGCATTGTGATTTGCCTGGGAGTAATGAGAAAATGGTAGTGCAGAGTGATGCTTATATGTTACAAAAGTTCAGCTTGCATACTAATCCTTATAAAAAATTTGTTCATATTCATGTTGAGTTAGAAACTGTTGAAAATTTAAACATGGTATATGAGAAGAATGGTGCTGTGAGGGATGGTGAAAGGGATGGTTGTCCAAGGGGTGCTCATGTAAGTGGTGGTGAGAGGGGTGGTAGGGTAAGGGATGGTGATGAGGAAGATGAGGATGATGGAGATTATATATTTGGTTTCAGTTCAGAAGATGAGAAATGGGAAGATGAAAATGAAGGGTATTCTAGTGATAGTGGACTAGTAGATGAAGGTACTATGGGGGGAGTTCAAATAAGTAGTGATGATGGTTTGTCAAATTATGGGTCAAGGGATGAATGTGGATCAGAATCAAGTATTAAAATATTGGGTGATACTGATAAAGAAGATAGGCCTAAGGGTAAAGCATTTGATCAATGTTTGTTTGGGATAGAATTTCATAGAGTTCCAGGACAAAAGATAGAGCTAGTAAAAGGTTACCTATTTGACAATATTAAGAAATTTAGGGAAGTGTTGAGGGATTATGCAATTCAAGAGTGTTTTAAAATGGTTAGGAAAAAAAATGAAAAAGCTAGAATAAGATGTCATTGTGCTGCTACAAGTTGCCTATGGATGATACATGCATCACCTCTCTTTGATAAAATCACCTATCAGATTAAAACAATAAACAAATAGCATACTTGTGTGAAGGAGAGCACTTCTAGGGAAGCAACATCAACATGGATTGCTATGAAGTTTGCAGATAGAATAAGAGAGAATCCGGAGATTAAAATAGCATCTTTGGGAGTTGCAGTGAAGACACAATATGGAATTGAACGTAGTAGAATGCATTTGTATAGGGCAAAGAGGAAGGCACTAGAGGAAATTAGGGGTAATCATGCTAAAGCTTACACATTACTTCCAACTTATGCAAATGAAATTGATAAAACAAATCCAAGAAGCTTGGTTAAAATTAAGAGGTTTAGGGCAAATTTGTATGTGAACCCAGTCTTTAGCAGAATTTTCATCTGTTTTGAGGCACTGGCCACTGGTTTGAAGAAAGGATGTAGACCATTTATTGGTCTAGATGGCTGCCATTTGAAAGGACGCTATGGTGGTGTTCTACTTGCAGCCACTGCACTAGATGGCAACAATGGCCTTTTCCCAGTGACCTATGGTGTTGTGGAAAGTGAAGGAAGGGAAAGTTGGGGTTTTTTTCTAACACATCTGCAGACTATGATTGGCAAAGATTTTGAGGACAACCCATGGACTTTCATGTCTGACCAACAAAAGGTATTTTTATATTGAAATTTTTTTAATTTTTATTTTATTGTCTTTGGTAAATTTAATTGTTGACACTGTTTTTACTATTTTATATAGGAACTGGATTCTGCAATTTCTTATATCTTTCCTAAGGCCCACCATAGATATTGCTGCAGACATTTATTTAATAACTTTAAAAAGAAGTACCCTGGTTTGTTGTTAAGGAAGTACTTTTGGAGGGCTACAAGAGCTTACAACCAAGCTGACTTTGATATTGCCATGGGGCATTTGAGGAATCTTACAGAAGAAGGGTATAATAATTTGATAGAATTGCCTGTATCATCATGGTCTAGGCATGGATTTGATGAAAATGTGAAAAATGATCATGTCACAAACAATTTAAGTGAATCATTTAACAATTGGGTTATTGCACAAAGAAATAATACAATTCTGAACATGTTAGAATGGATTAGGATGCAACTGATGGGTAGGATTCAAAAGAGGTATGAGGTGGCATGCAGTTGGCAAACAGTGTGACTCCTAACATTAGGAAGAGATTGAACCAACTCATAGAGGAATCTAGACAATGTAGTGTCATCTTTGCTGGAGCGGATGAATATAAAATAATGGATGAAACTGGTAGAACTGTGGTAGACCTTGGTGTTAGGACTTATGTATGTAGGGCATGGCAAATTTCTGGCCTCCCCTGCAAGCATGCAGCTACTGTAATGGCTTATAAGAGAATGAATATTGAGCTATTTTGTGATGAAAATTTTAGTAAGCATGCTTATTTGGAAGCTCATGGGGGAATGATACATCCCATAGTTGACTCAAAACTATGGCCACCTGCTTATGGTGATCCACTTGATCCTCCTCCACCTTATAGAAGGCCTGGTAGGCCAAAGAAAAATAGAAGAAGAGATGCAGATGAACCTGCAGCAGGGACTAGTCAAGTGAGAAGGTCAATGATCATAAAATGAATAAGGTCCAGAAGGGAAGTTCTTCAAAAGCTGCAAATGCAAGTGGTCCAGAGGGAAGTTCAAGCACATCTTAGGTAATTTAATTATCTGGTTTAATTTAATTCAGTTTTTTTAATAAAAACTGAATTAGTCCATGCCATTTATTCTTATGTTTTGTTTGTTTTTTAATATCAGAGAGTTAGGAGGAGGGGTTTATCACAGCCCTTGGGTGCAAGCAGTTCTCAACCCCAACTTGGTAGAGGCACAACTCAAATGGTAACTTTTTATTTTTTTATTTTTTTCATTTACAGATTTACTTTATTGGTCATACAATTATTTGAAATTGTTGTGATTGTTTGACTTAGGCAGTTAGAGGTGGGAGGGGTGGTATAAGCAGTTCTCAACCCCAAGGTGCTACATGGAGTTTTGGTGCAAGCAGTTCTTAGCCCCAACTTGGTAGAGGGACAACTCAAATGGTAAATTTTTTTATTTTTATTTTTTCATTTACAGATTTACTTTATTGGCCATATAGCTATTTGAAATTGTTGTGTTTGTTTGACTTAGGCAGTTAAAGGTGGGAGGGGTGCGTCTATGTCTCAGCCCCAACTTGGTAGTGGTACCTCTTCTGACATGGTAAATTATAGTGTCATGTAAATTTTAGTTATATATTTCGTTTCTTCTTCTTCTTCTTCTTCTTCTTCTTCTTCTTCTTCTTTTTTTTTTTTTTTTTTTGAACTCCATTTATTTGTTTTCCATAGGCAATGTGGTAACTGTCATGCTGTTTCAATCCTTCTGGCCTCCCCTGAAGAATGTTTTTTGTGTTCTTATTTGGAGCATATATGGATAACTACCTGTCACTTTTGATGTTACTATTTTGTTTTGATGGCATGTGGACAAATGTTTGCTCATAGTTAGAGTTGCATTTGGAGCATATGTGGATAACCTGTCACTTTTGGGAAACTTTGCTGGCTACTTGTTGACAATTTTTGGGATATTGTTGGATAGGTTCTTGGACAGGATATAATTACATACTTATACTCATGGGTCTTGGGTATACTTTTGGTTGTTTTGTGTATGTAATGAAGTAGAGACAGTTGAATTGAACTATATATAAGCTTTTGGTTATTTTTTGCATGCCACTGTGTTTTGCAATGGAGTTCATACTATATAAACTTTTGATTATTTTTGCATGCCACTGTGTTTTGCAATGGAGTTCATACTATAAAACTTTTATATTTCTTCTTAATAGACTTATATTGCTTCTAGTTTATATGGAATACATAAGTGTCATATTTCTTCAAAAACAGACTTACATTGCTTCTAGCTCATATGAACACATAAATGTCATATTTTTTCTTAACACAGTACAAACTTAATAGCTACTAAAATGTTTTTAACAAGGCTAAGAAAGACAACAACAAAGCTGCAATAATGAATATCTTCATTTGTCCATTTCTTGCTTCAATCAGATCCAACCGCCTATTCATCGCTTCATATTGGTCTCTTAGATAAACAGCATCATCATTCGGTTGAACTTCACCATCTTGATTTGTAGATGATTAATAACCACCTATTGTACCAATGGGGTTGCACCACTCCCACAATAAACATTTTTTTCTTTCACAGGTATAATACAACTTCCCTTTGTTGTGAGAAGTGTCGTAAATTGTAACCCTTATTGCAGTTGTTACACTACAATAACAAGTCATACTATTGTACCTCAAAATCCTTGGAGCATTGCCTCTTGCAATATTTGAGCTTGACTGAGACATCTGGTTAATCAATAATGAAAAGGAAAAATAAAATAATTAAATAAAATCACAAAATATGAGAGATGGAGGGAAAAACTATAACTATATATATATATATATATACAGAGAGAGAGAGGGGGGGGGGGGGAAATAAAATCATATATATTTCATCATATATATATATATATATTGAGAGAGAGAAATATATATGATTTTATTTCCCTCTCTCTCTCTCTCTCTATATATATATATATATATATATAGCAGACCTTGAAGGAGACCTTAAAGGAGAACAGACCTTGAAGGAGTAGCAGATCTTGAAGTACCAGTTCTTATGTGGAGGGAGAGCCTTGAGGGATTAGCTTCACGTCGAGAAAATTTAGAAAGAGAATTGTTAGAGAGAGAAAGAATGTAGTATTATGTAGAGAGAGAGTGGGCTTATAAAGAAATCATACAAGTGTTTTATTGTCTTTTTATTCTAGATATATAGGTTATTTTAATACAAAAGTAAGGGTAAAAATGTCTTTGCAAATATAGTAAGGGCAAATGTGGTATTACATGGTTAAAAAGTGCTGATTTCATCAAAAATCATCATTGACCGGCGTTGACTTTCACCGGAGGGGGCTAAGTGTTACGACGGAGCAAACCTTGAGGGAGGGCGGTGTAATATTTGAAACGTTAGGGGTACCGCCTGTAATTAGGCCTAACCCTAGGGTAGGTAAGTGTAATTACCCAAAAAAAATTATTATTAGTATTAACCCACCCAAACAATCCCAAGGTTAAAATAAAGGCCTAATCCAAACAAACCCAAGCCAAACAAGGCCTAATAGATGAACTAGTGCCATGGTCCTAGCCTTAAGAATTGCAATTCGCAGACCTCTATTCTCATCTCCACAACTCTACCAGTCCACCACTGTCCTCCTCTGACCTCAAATATTTATATAGATTATTTATTAAAAATAAATAAATTTATACGGATTATGTAATCTTTGAATTCAAATATTTATATAGATTATGTTATTAAAAAAAAAAAAATTTGCTTAAGAAATTGTGTTATTAAATTTATGTTTAATTTTAGCCCACCTCATTATCAATTCCTAGATCCGCCCTTGCATGTAATCCTCCCATTTTACACGCACTTAGGCTCTAAAATAATTCAAACTTCCAATCTTCTGAATGTGAGATACTGGTTTGGAGTTCTTTCGGATAAGAAAATGTGTGTTCAATATAATGTCATCCCACTAATATTTATCAATAACTTTCTTTCAATGCATGTTTTTTCCTTATAAAAATATATTTGTGAGGATGGTGGTATCAGACCTCTTATAATACCACATAATTAATTATTTGGCACATAGTGTCCCCCAAAACTCTCTAAAAGTGGCTCTAAGAGAATTCAAAATTTTGACCTTCGGAACGAAAATGATTAAGGTTGGAGTTCTTACAGAGTGGTTATGCAATTTAATTTTATGTTTTGAAAATTAATTTCTTCGAAACTTATCATATAGATTAAGTAAATTGGCATCACATCCCAAAAAACAAGAACAAATAGATTGACTAGCATTCATGGAAGGATTATTCCCCTAAAAACAACAAACACATAGATCCAACAAAAGAGATAAGGATACCCCATGGCGTCGTGTTTGAGGTGTTCAAATATTATTAGTAATTTTTTTTTCCCCATAAAAAAAAAAACACAAAACAAACACAAGCTTCACATGATGTCATCTCACTAATGTGTATCGGGAATATTTTTTCAATGCGTGTTTTTCATACACATACAGGCTCCCATTTTACATGCACCTACGTTGAGGTTGTGGAGCTGCTATCTCAATCGATTAATACAAGCTTTCACTTCAATCAACACATCACATTATTGAGATTCCGAGGGCATGAAAAATCTCGCTCGAACTTAGACCTCTTTCGATCAATCAAGGACTAAGTAAGTTCGATCAAATAAATTTGCATTTGGCTCAATCGAACATTGGGATATTTTGATCCATCAAAACTGTGACCAATTCGATCGACATAGATAAGAAGCTACGAGATTTGTTCCCTAAATTGAATATTTGCTTCCAAAAGGCTCTTAGACTAGGAGAGCAAGTCGTTTCCACATAAATATTGGGTTTTGTATCAACCGTGCGAGTGATATGCGGGTAACACATTGTGGAGAGAGATATACACTAGAAATTGTGAGATCGATATATTGTGAGAAAGATTGATGGTGAGTATAGAATTTTTCTTGTTAACATCCATCATTATTGTTCATAGTGAATATTGGACTTCGTGTATGTAGGGAAAACAATTGTACTCTCCACACATCTCGTCACCTATATAAACTCTTATGTATCTTTGTATCATAAGACATCAATACAATACAGAGTTCTATATATAGGGTATTTATGTAAATATCTCATACATCAATACAATACAGAGTTCTATACTCTCTCTTTATTTCTAACATGGTATTGGAGACATAAACCCTCCTGTTCCTACTTGATCATTGTGTTCGCATATTTTTTTCTATCATATTATTCCCCAACGCCTAGTAATTACCAATATATATATATATATAGATATATATCTTGAAAGTCATATAGAATAAGTAATGTGACATCACATCTCATGAAACAGATAACAGATAACAAATAACAAACAGATTGACTAGCATTCTTGGAAGTATTATTCCCATAAAAAACAAACACATAGTTCCAACAAAAGGGATAAGGATTTACCCTATGTTCTCTAATTTGAGGTCTTCAAATATTACTTTTAATTCTTTCTTCTTAGGCAACTATAGTTACCATCATCATGAAAATGACACCAACAACTTTCATTCTTTTATTATATTATATTATGATTGGTTTTTACCATATTTGTATTGATGTCATCTTCAATTTGATTATTGTCCACCACTTCCACCAAACCTTAATATAAAGACGGCTTTGTGTACAAAACATGGATATTAAACTCGAAATGGTATTTGGAGGAATCAAAGCTCATCAAGATTCGAATTTTGTTTGCACAACAAGACACGTCTCTGCAACAATGTTTGGCTAACATTGCATATGACAAAATCAGCATCTTTGTAAGTTACGATGTTCTATAATACCACCAAATCTACAAATATACATGTACTGTGTACACATTATTGTATTGTCATTACTATGTACAATATTTTATATCAAAAATAATAATAAAATCAACCACCACATTTTTAACATTTTATGCATGCACTAGATCCCTACAGTCTTTTAGGACCTTATTCCTGCATTAGACTCCTACATATATATATATATATATATATATATAGAGAGAGAGAGAGAGAGAGAGAGAGAGCCTATATATGTATGCCCTGCAGTGATTAGGAGGGTGTCCTAATTTTGCATAGAGGGTTTAGTCTGCTAGAAAAATGGGCATTTCCAAATTCAATCCTAGTTTTGCCTAGAGGACTTTGGTGTCCTAGAAAAACAGGGCATTTTCAAATTCAATCCTAGTTTTGCATAGAGGGCTTAGTGTCCTAGAAAAACAGGACATTTTTCAAAGTTTGTCCTAGTCTTAAAATTGCCAAATGTGTTCCACATTTTCAGTTGCAGCCAAGCCTGGCATTAGAGTGGGCAATGACAAGTTCTTGTGTAGCAAATCCATGGCAACAATGGCAAGAATTGAGGCCACAGTAACTTCTCCAAGAACAACTAGGCCGCGCATTGTCCCTGAATTGTCGATACAAGGCGTTCCTCACCATGATCTACATGTGCGCGAAATCGTGCAGAAACAATCTCAGGCTAGCAGCTTTGCCATTGATGATGCTTGTAGGAAACCACAGTTCCACCCTATGTTCCTTGAAGAAGCGTATGATCGATGCAAGAATGTTTGTGCAGAATATGCAAAGACCTTTTATTTAGGTACAAAGTTTAATTGCCATGCTTTTGAATGTCTGAAAAACATATAACATTAAACATGAACTTCTCAAACATATTTTTGCTTTCTCTTGTACTAAGCTCATTGTTTGTTTCCTCCAAAATTGTTTTTCATTTTCTCAACTCTATTCGCATTATATTTTTACAACTACTTCCCTAGATTTTTTAATGATTTCAAGATGCCAAATGATATTCACATCCCATATTTTCATCACTCTATGAATGACTTTAAGATTAATATTTTGATTTGTTGTACTGATGCAGGAACTTTGCTGATGACAGAGGATAGACAGAAAGCAATATGGGCTATATATGGTTAGTGATTTACCATTAAATATTAAATATATTATTATTAATTCATATTGAGAGTGATTGGAAGAAATCTAGGGGAAAACACTTAATAGAAGCAAATCAGTCCCTGTCCTAGTTTAGTGATAATCGAGCCCTGCAAGTACTACCTAAAAAAAAGCTCTTACCAACTTGAGGAAACAGGTTGTCTACCTGGGAAGAAGAATCTTTATCTTTATTTGAACCACGACACCATTGATATGACATCATTACTAGTGAGAGAATCAAATCCAATGGTTGGTGGGTGTGCAGGACCTCTCCTTATCTACCAGTTGACTAGTTGGTAAAGCGTCCAGCTTCCCCGAGCCGGTACCTGTGTTTGAGTCCCCCCGCCCTTATTTTGCTAGGTAAAAAAAGGGTGGATTTTTTTTTTTTTTTTTTTTTTTTCGGAAGTCTTTTCTCCAAGTGCTCGAACCCTCAACCTTTCCTTTAGGATACCATCTAGGCTAATGCCCATTGGTTTGTTTGGAGATGTATTCATTTGAAGCTACTCTTTTACACCTATTAGCCCTTTTTTTCCCCTCGACAGTTGAGGCAACTAGTTGAGTTGTCATTGCTATGGCCTTAATTTAGAAGACATTTTTCATTAACATTAATACATAATCAATAGCTTTTGAACTGTTCTTTTGGGATTGAAATAGTTTTTTCCTGCAGTTTGGTGCAGAAGAACCGATGAACTGGTTGACGGCCCCAACGCTGCCCATATGAGTACTGCTGTTCTTGATAGGTGGGAGGAGAGACTCGAAGACATCTTCAACGAACGCCCCTATGACATGCTTGATGCTGCACTCACTGATACAGTTTACAAGTTTCCCCTAGACATTAAGGTACTTCAAAACTCTCCTATAAGCCTCTTTTTATGTTCACTAATCGACTGGTTTCCAAACCTGTCATTTTCCAAGAAAGAACTAGACAAAGTTCAATGACAGGTTATATGATTTTCTTTTGTCAAACACAGCCTTTCAGGGACATGATTGAGGGTATGAGAATGGACACAAGGAAAAGCCGGTACGCGAGTTTTGAAGAGCTCTACCTCTACTGCTACTATGTGGCTGGAACAGTGGGACTGATGAGCGTTCCTGTAATGGGGATTGCACCAGATTCTTCGGTTTCTGCTCAGCGTGTATACAATGCAGCTCTCTATTTGGGCATTGCCAATCAATTGACAAACATTCTTAGAGACGTAGGAGAAGAGTGAGTGTCTATACTCTATACCAATGCCCATTTCTTGTTTTTTTTTTTTTTTTAATAATCGGGGTGTCCAGGGTTTTGCCCCGACTAATCCACGGGACCCGTGCAAGGTGTCCCCATATGAATCGGATAATGTTCAGACTATGTCCGCGAGTGTAACTCCTAAGGAATTGTTTGCACTTAGGAGGAATTGATCTTGAGACCTAATGCTTCATTAGGCACCAGGACCCAAGTTTTTTCCAACTAGGCCAAACCCTTGGGGTTAATGCCCATTCCTTGTTCCCATTTCCTTAATTCCATTCTCTGTACTAAGAACTCTATTTTTTTTTTCCCAGTGCCTTAAGAGGGAGAGTTTATCTTCCTCAAGACGAGCTTGCACAGTTTGGGTTGAGCGAGGAAGATGTTTTCTCAAGAAAAGTCAGTGATAGATGGAGAGAATTCATGAAAAAGCAGGTTTCAAGAGCAAGGTTCTACTTCAACCAGGCTGAGGAGGGAGCTTCTCAGCTTGACAAGGATAGCCGTTGGCCGGTAATTAATCTTTTTTACCCCCCTAAAGTTTAAGTAAACACGCATAGAACCACAATATTGCCCCTAGCAGGCTCGAGTTAATTATTGGCCAACCCACAAACATTCATTAAACACACACACACACACACATATATATAAAGTGTTTTTGCAAGTGTTGATGAATTGATTTCTTGGAGATTTTGCAGGTGTGGTCATCCTTATTGTTGTATCGCAAGATCTTGGATGCAATAGAGGATAATGACTATGATAACTTGACAAAGAGAGCTTATGTTGGGAGGACTAAGAAGCTTCTCATGCTACCTCTAGCATACACCAGAGCTCTTCCACCACCAAGTTTGGCCTTTCACTAGGTGTTTGTGTGTGTGTGTGTGTGTGTGTGTGTGTGTGTGTGTGTGAGAGAGAGAGAGAGAGTAGCCATCTGCATGATAGAGAGAAGGATGGACATTATACTGAGGGAGTAGTGTATCATGTATAGTTGATTTCTTGAAAACTGGAGAAGAGAAATGTGTAATCAGGTTCTTCAGAATCCTGCTTCCTACAAATCATGAAATTGGGTGATCTTTTCCCAAGTGTGAATTTGACTGTGAAGAAATTAATATAAATCAATCTTGTAATTTGTTTACAATTCAATCAGAAATCCAATTGGCTGTGACTCTTTTTCATTACCTTTTCTTCTCTTTATTATGGGTGGCAATATTGGACAAAATAGTATTTTCAAGCTTTCTAAGGACATTCTCAGTTCTTAAGTAAATTTTGAGCATCACATCAGCACACAATAATGTCAGAATTTATAACACTAGAGGTGAACCAAATGAAAGATCAGTGTCATATTTGAAACTAGAGGGGAGATCCTTGTTATTTAGACAAACTATATGGGAAGTAAGTGTAATTATTCCTTCTTTAAATTAGTTTCACTTCAAGACTCTCTTTTACCGTTTTAACTTTCCTAACATCACTCCTTTAATCATACCAACTACCTATATGCTCTCGTTGTCCATCCCTAATTTTGTTGACCATGTGTATCAACCCCACAATACACGCACCATTTAAGTCAGCAGTGCAGTTCAAAATCGAGACTTCAAAAATTTACCTCCTGAATCCTTGCTAACGCCGCTATGTCCCTGAGGACATTTTTTTTCCTTATTACAGTAGAAGATTTCTTTACAAAAAGGTTAGGCATAGATAATTTGATCACACAAGTAAATCAAATCAAATTGTTATGAGAAATAGGGTTTCAGTTTTTTGAATCAGTCGATAGTTAGATTACATTATATTTCATTTTCATCTTATACATTCAAAATATCCACTTCTTTTTCAAATTAACTAATAATTGCAACTTCCTTTCTTTGTCAAAAAAAAGAAAAAGAAAAAAGAGGATTATCATTTTTCTTACAGCTCATACCACTATACCAGTACTCTGGTTTGAATCTTGTTAATTAGGATTCCGAAAATGTAAACGTTTGTGTTACAAAAATCTTGACCTCGCTCATCGTGGTTGGCACTCTGCCTAACCGGGCCACCTTCCGGGCGTGTGCTTACTGTGCCCTTCCGGGAGTGTGCTGTGATACCAAATCAAGGATGGTTTGACTCTATATCGACGGATTGACGTTTGCCTGCTAACCCAAAAGCTTAAACTATTTGATGTGCAATGCATATTCCATTCACTTCCCATCCCGATCCAATGTGGGAAGTGCCCCTCTAACACCACACCTGTACTAGATACCACCACAAAAACCCTAAAACCAACACTTCCAACACAACTACAGCATACGCACCCCGCCAGGCCTACAATGCCACCAGTCTTCTGAATTGTGTTCTATTACCTGAGTGGATTTAGACCTAAAATGTTGCTGAAAAACCATATATAGTGAGCCATCGTCATAACCAATTTCAAAAAGTACTCAAGAGTATTGTTTCAACAATAAGCAACCCTGCCCAAAGATATCATTAACCAATCAAGTACAATATTCCTTTCTGTTTTCTTTTTCTTTTTTCCATAGGTAATATCAAGTACAATATCACAGCACAAGTCATCCAAAAGTATTGTTATTTCCCAAGTTTGTTTAAATTTGGCAGTGACTTCTGAGAAATTATTAGTACATGATCCCAGCCAATCACTATTCAACACCTAAGCAAAAAAAGCTGAATAAAGCTTACACATTTCTGACACATTTGCTTAGGTATTAAATGGTGATTGGCTCTTCAGTAATGATCCAATCCAGTGAATCAGGTGTTAAAAGCTAGCTAATCAGACTAAATAAAGGTCAAACAATGCCCAAGATGTCAGTAACTAAAAGGAACACTTCTATACGTAGGGAAGCAAAAGAGACCATCCAAATCCATCAAATTCAATGAAGACCATCATGGGAATAAAAATCATCTTACCAATTACAGAACTTACTTCAACTATTGAAAAAATTATAAAAACACCATAATAAGAAAAGGAAAAAAAAAAAAAAGTGTTCCCTCTATTGACCCCCATTAAATGATCATCCATGACAAGAAAAAGACAAAAAATGTAGTAAAAAAAAACAAAGGATTGAGGAAAGAGAAGATGCCATATTGTTAGCAGGAAATGGTACACATGCAACATACGCATAGTTGGCTCTAGTGCATCTTCTGCAGCAACTTGGTATAGTTTCAGGAAACAACTGAATCAAAGGAAGCCTTACCTGCCCGTTTTACACACTTCGCCACCCCACCACCATCATAGCGAACTTATAAGTTTCAAATTTGAAAAACACATAAACCAGCTAGCAGGCTCTTGCAGCTCGCAGTCAGGGTAACAACTCAATGGCAGCCGCATCATAGAAAGTAATCTGGTGTTCTTCGGGTTACATCTGGCTCTCCTCTCCTGGGAGCTGGGTCAAACTGCAACCAAGAACAAATTTGCAATTCAAGCTTTAATTGCACAGCTAGCGCAAGCAAAACATAAACCAAATAAGGCCTGAAATTCACCTCATATTACGCTGCATTGAAGTGTGCTTGTTTGTGTGTGTGTTTGTGAGAGAGAGAGAGAAAGAGGAGATAGACCTGAATGAAAGTGTGGCCGTTGCAGTCATCTACTTCAAGGATAGATGCCATGTTCCCACAGCGATAACAATAATTAGGTGCACTAAATATGGTAACTACCTTTTGCTCCTGTCACAAACAAAGGCCAATCAATTATAAATCTCAGCACACAACGAAAATATCACCAACCAAACAAATCCCCAAGTTAGGCTAAGTAGGTACATGGCCCCAGTTGAATCCCTCCATAACCAGCTGGTGTGCTCTAGCAATGAGCTTTAAGTTGTTGGTATGGTTAAATTGTTCAGATATGTCCTGTAAAAACCAAACAGTTGACCAGGGAACAAAAGCTTAATTTTATGGAGAAATAAAAAACAGAAGACAGAACAAAGGAAAAGGGAACAAACATATAAAATACCTGGCCAAAAGTATATCCAGCACCCCTGGGTGAGATACCCCAACCACAACGATCATCAGGGTCAGACCACAAAAGATCGCACATGGGACCCTCGTGAGGAACTTCTTGAACACGGTCAAAATTACGGATGTTGTCAAGAGTTTCAATGGAAGGGGACAATCCACCATGGAGACAAAATATCTCAGATTCGACCTAGAAAATTTAGTGTGTGAAATATTGAATCAACACAAAAAACAATAATGTTAACAAGAAATGGCATCATACACGGCAAGAATTAAAAAATATAAATTTGCATTCAGATTAAGGGTGCCTCCTGATTGTGTACTCCTGGGTATATTAAAAAACAGAAGAAAGCTGTATTGTGGCTGGATGCACAACCACTTACATTGTTTAGGGTAATTTCAGGGAATCCTAACAAATAGACTTTCTGTGATGAGTCTAATGAATCAATGACTCATACACTAAACGAAGCTTACATGTAATTTACTAAACCATCCGAAAAATGACGTATGCAACAGTTGACATTTTAGTCTATTGGGACCAGTTAACCAATGGTCCATCAGAGTGCAAGTATAAAACAATAACTGAACTTCGAATGCAGAGAATGGAACTTCCAGAAGACATCTGTAGAATCTCAAAAGGACATTCAATCTCAGGGTGAAATAAGATAATCTCTACTACATTTTATTTTTTATTTGAGAAGTTACAATTTGAACATAAAATTCAAACTGTTAATCTACATGCAATAAAGTAAGAGCAAAAGTAATCTAACAAGTCAGAAAGAACAAAATCATTTTTTCCCCTTTGATGCACAACACAGGTAAATTGTAAATGTAAGCCTGTGGACCACTAAGCACAAGTGGTATACTTATTAAAAAAAAAAAAAAAAAAAAAAAAAAAAAAAAAAAAAAAAAAACGAAAAAAACATCAAATAGAATTTAATACTGAACGTGACAGCAACAATGGCAATACTGCCAATAGTTACAATGAAGTGCAATTATGCATCAGCATGTTAGTAACTGTGGTAGCAGTAGCGTTTTACTAAGAAGGTGTGGCTATTCTTCCTAAGAAACAATTCTGCTTCATAATAAACGAAATTTTCCGTTTCACAATTTTGCTTCCAATAACACATTTGCAAAGAGCATTATTGTCCAGTTCAGCTACATATAACTCTAGTGCCAACAAAGTTAACCACACAAATACTTTCAATACCGATTCCCACCATCGACGGCTTCAACTTTTGGTACACATGTTTATTTTTGCCATTTCCAAAACCTTCAACATGAGCATTGCCCTACTTTACATTGTTTAACCAAACACTTCATTTAATTCTTTGTCTAATTTCAAAACAAGAACCATAAAAAATTTCTATATCATAAATCATACTAACCAATGCGGTAAGTGGAAAATAGTCGAACAAATCCGTAAAGATCTTCCACACATTAGCATTGCCGTATCTGCAAATAAAACAGTAGGAATGGGTTACCATTGCAGATTTGCAAAGAGAAACAAGAAGAAAAGAACCACCAAAAAAATGAGCCATAGAAAAAATCAAGCAGTATAAAAGGACATGGTATTTAGATGGCAATCAACAGTTTAATTATATCAAACAGGTGGTAGCTCTGTAAGAAAAGTTAACAAAAAAATCCACTTCTGAGACTGGTTTAGCATTGAATATAAAACTTATGAGTTGTTCAGCAATAGAATTGGTGTTTTATTACTGTCTCATGCTTGCACATATAAGCAGGAACATTGAAACATTGAAGGATATAACTATAGCGAACAATACCAACGAATCATTGAAGCCTGTACTGGAATTACAGCACTTGCCACTCAACATTAGAAAGAAAAAAAAATGCAGCAAGAAAACGATGTCACAACACAGATAATAGTATAAATTACCCATGTCCATGGCAACTAGAAAATGAGTCAGTAAATGTGTCACGACAAAACATGGGTAAATGAGTACAAGAAGTGCCCAGAAAGCATGTCTAATACGTTTGTCCACAGAGTATAGAAGAAAGAAAAGAAAAAAATTCCTATAGGTACAATGTCTCCTAGTCCACTAGCTTATACAATTTCTCTTTTACATGTTCTCTTGAGCGATAGAAACTGGCTGTCCCTCCCTCCCTCAACCATTGATACTTATCAATAGTCAAATCATGAGCTTAGATCTCGCAGAAGAATCCCCAGTGATATCATATAACCACCCAAGCATGATCATAACGATATAGCAACAGCTTTGATACAAGACTGCAAATGGAACTCATAAACATGATTATCCCCAAAAAAGAAAGAAGGGGGGAAGGGGAAAAATATAAACATTTCTTCAATATTAAATCTGTATAATTCTGTAATGAAATAACATATTGAAATTAAGAACAAAGATATTTTTTTTGATAAGTAAAATAATTTAATAACTTATTATATACTTTTTTTTTTTTTTATTTAAATAAATCAATTAGTGCTGCACCCATGACTTGAACCTGAAACCTTAAGCATAAATCCCAAACACACTACAAACTTGGCTACTACGCTCTTAAAATTAAGCAGAAAGATCAAGCTTAGGTTGAAGTTTTTAGACAAAACTATAAACTATTATCATTCTGTTGATAATTAAAACTCCTACAAGCAAGATGTGAGAACTCACTTCCTTAGGCATTCGTCATAAAATCCATAGACTTGAGTTATCTGCAGTCAGAAGCATAAACCAATATTCAGCACTAATTCAATAAACATGAAAGAACCAGTAAAAGGATTTTCAAAGTAAAATGAATAAAAGCCTACACCTGTATGGAAGAGGACAAAACTATCAACGATCAAAATAGAACTTCTGAGGATAATTAACTATAGCTATCACCAGCTACCAATGCTATAATTTCAACTCACAGAAACAATCCTAGTTGATAAAGAAAAAAACAAAAGGAAGTGGTAACCAGGATGTTGAACAAGAGAGGCAGCATATGAGATGAAATAAAGAAGCGGAATATACCTGACGACTTTCATGGTTTCCTCTTAGAATAGTTATTCGTTGAGAGTAGCGCACCTTCAGGGCCACCAGAAGCTGAATAAATGAACGATCAATATCAGAACAATATTACTGTACCTCAACTCAAATGAAGCAAACTCAAGGAACATCCTTAGGATTGGACAAATCCAAACAGGAAGTCCTCAACAGTACTATAGGTCCATCTACATGAAACTGACCTATAAGCACTGCACGGATGCACATATGCAATCAATTAAAACTAGAACATGTATGCAACAAGCTCATCTTATTCTCCCACTTCCACAATATCACCATTCACCACATGTGGTCAAATATTGGAACTTGTGTAGCATATAGGGTGAAAAGAAGGATCAAGGTGTGCCATTATAGTCGCAGGATGTTAAGAAAATTGTTGTTCAATTTGCTAACCTTGAGAAAATTCCAAATTGGTCTTTACGCTTAAGCTAAATTAGTTCTGTTTGTCATCTTAGCTACTTTGACAAGGGAAAATCTACTTTGTTTTGGTATTCCTGGAATTTTTATTTTCACTATATATTCATGTACCCACTCCATGAAAGAAGGAAATAAAAGAGAAGAAAAGGAAAAGTGGTCTGCTATAATGACTTGTCAGGTCACCACAAATCATACTGAACTTTTCTTACTTAAAAAGGATAGATTCACACTTACCGTTACAGTTTCGACTGAATAATAGCCACGATCAACATAATCTCCCATAAACAAATAGTTCGTATCTGGACACTACCAATCATAAGAAGACAACATCAAATGAATTTATGATTGAGAATGCTAAAAGGATAAGAAAGAAGAAATCTAACAAGATAAACATCTTGTGTGTAACATTTTGTGTATGCATGCACATATATTATATATATAAGATAGCAATATTAATAACAAGCAACATAAAATGAACATAAGTAACTTAATCCAATTATTAGAGCTCAATAAACATAACAGTGCAGCAACATAAAACAGAGTTCATTTTAACATAGCATGTGGCAGTATCACACTGTTGCATTCACAAATAGAAATTAAAGTGGAAAATTGTATAAATTGTATGGGTCACCAGAGATACTTAGGAACACAAAGTGGACAACCGTAGCTACTAAAATTGTATGTCACCAAAGATAGTCAAAGGAACACAAAGTGGACAACCACGGCCAGCTATGGAGCTTAGGGCTGTAAACTAACCGAGCGTTCGACAAACAGTTCGAACTAGGAGCTCGGCTAGTGTTCGTTTGTTAACAGTTTGTCTATTTGGTTCGTTTACTAAACAAATGAAAACGAACCAAGCTCTTGCAGGGCCAAGCCCGAGCTATTCGTCGAATGTTTGGTTCATTTACAGCCCTATCCGTGGCAATCCTAAAGAGTCTAGGGATACAGCATGTAAAGAACGATCCCCATACCAAATGTCCTTCCAAAAATCTGATTCCCCTGCCATCCCTAACCCCGAATCTGATGTGTTTAGAGAATCCATCCCACCCCTTCCGGATGAATTTCCAAACCCCAACTCCACCTGGCACTCTCAACTCAGGAGATCACCTTCCATCTCTCTCCTCCCCAAATCTACAAACAATCAGTGTCCTCCACTAAAATGTGTAAGTTTTATATCAGAATAAATATCTATGCTAAGAGAATGACAAACTCCCAATTCCCTTCCCTAATTCTCTCTTTCTTCTCTTCATCTTCTTTGCTTCCTCAACCCAAAAAACCCTCAGTTACACTTCCAACCTTGATGTGACTCATAAAAGAACATATAATTCAACACCGAGATTGCAATATATTAAAACATAAACTAGGTATCTGAATCATTCATGGCATTTTAATCTTCAAAGCACAGCATTACTTTTTCCCTTTTCTGGTAAATTCAAGAGCACAACAATCCCAGTTAGCACCTTCACACTATACGGTACTAAGTAAAAAATATTCACCATCTTGTTTCCCAAGCATGTGCCGATTACCAAATGTTTCCAAAAAAATACCATATATCCAAAAAAAAAAAAAAAAAGGTATACCATTCCTCCAATTCGAAAAAGCTCTGCAAGATCATGAAATTGCCCATGAATGTCACCACATATAGTTACAGGACTTTTCACAGGCTGCATAGAGAGAAACAAAACGATCAGTTAAGATTTTGCCCGCCCTAACTCAAAATAAACTTGAAAATGGTATTTATGATGCAATAAATGGCCAAGGATACATGTCTACAAAAACCAGCCACTCACAGGAAAAAGGAAACAAAGAAAAGGAAAAAAAAAAATAGAGGAAGAAGAAGAACGTAAACTTGAATGAAAAAAACTGATTTTTACCTCCTGCTTAGAACCTTAATGCATATTCTTTCACACAATATAAGTATAACAGTAAGTATTTCTTGGCACGCCAAAACCTCAAACCCTCTTTACAAGTAAATGAAAATGCTTATCCTCCCAAAAATCCTCCATAAGATATAAAAACTAAAGTCAAACTGGTGCAGGACAGCTTTAGGAAACTAGAAATTATGCTCCTGGTGATCAATCTCATGGTGAGTTAAGGCTGTCGAAAGCTTGTGTAATTAAGGTTTAAAAGGATGGAACAAAGGGTGTAGAATTCACAAATGGAAAGTTGTGGGATTCAGTATTGTTTTACAAGTGGTAGATTGTAGGAATAACAAAAATTAGTTGCTGGAAATTATTTACAACAACTAAGTTAGGGTTAGGGTTGATTTAGGCTTGGTAGTGAAGGGTTGTAGTGCAAAAATAGGGGGCTGTTCTGGGCTGCAAACACCAACTAGAAAACAATTGTTAAAGAGAAGCAAAGAAAAAAAAATTACGATTCCACATAGAATCATATTTATTGAAGACTAAAAGGCACCTTATGGTGCTAAGATCCCCTAAAGCATAAGTGCAACATCGGGTGCACCTTGAGCAAAGTAACAATACGTATGACAGAGAGATATATCAAATACACTTGCAGTTGAAACAATTCACAATATGCAACAAAAACTAGTCAAAAAAATTAAATAAATGGACGTGTCAATAGAAAGAGTTAGATAAATTAATATACACCTAAGTTTCCAATATGCCTATGCATTAAATATCACAGAAATGAGCATTAATTCAACCATATAGATTTAACATTACTATATTTTCATAATATTCAACATCAAGCAGTATCCAAGGGTAATTTAATGAGTCAACCATACTAATATGAATCTCTTTTTTTTTTTTTTCATATTTGAAACTCACACACCCAATTTGCCCCCCTAGGGACTTGAACCCTCGACCTTCTACTTGGAAGTACTACTAGGCTAAAAGTTACAACCCTTTTAAAAAAGATAAAAGTTTTTTTCTTTCTCTAGAATCTAATATGTTGCGTGCACCTGATAGCTTTATATGAACCTACTAAAGGGGCCTTGCCTATCAAAAATTTAAACGGTATAGTAAAGCCTCAACAAACAATTATGCCTCACATCAAACAATCTTCAATTCTTAAAATTCAATTTTATTGGATAAAAATTCAAAATAACTGCTTATAGGCTGCTAGGCTACTCTTGACTCAAGGCCATGACTCAAAAATCAGAAACTTAGAAACACAGACTACAAAAGTCTACTTTAGACCAACAAAGACTCCAAATAGAAATCCAACAATATAACTTAATCGTGTGCAACTAATTTTGAAATTATTAAAACGTCCTTTACTCTTACCTAATAAAATAAAATAATCCTAATTTAGCATAAGATAAAACTCAATTCAATCCTAAACATGATTAGAAATCCAACAATATAACCTTTTTTTCCCTAAATAATTCAACAATATAACTTAATCATGTGCAACTAATTTTGAAATTATTAAAAATTCCCTTTGCTCTTAAAACCTAATAAAATAAAATTATCCTAATTTACATAAGTCATAAGATAAAACTCAATTCAATCCTAAACATGATTACACAAGATGAAAAAGACTCAAAGAAACAGGTTCGCCATGACAAGGAACGGCATGACAATTAAATAATTAGTAACAACTTCCCTGTTATCCAGAATTTGAGAGCCTTACTTCTAAAACTTTAGCTAGTTAACAAATGTTTCAAAGAAACAAATAATACCCTTTACAAGCTTCCATTAGTTCTTATTCAGCCAAGCAAAATGGTGGGAACTCAGAACGCCTCAATTGGTTTTTATTTTATTTTATTGTCAATGGTGTCCTCAACCCATTTTGAACTACAGATTTCAGTACATAATAATGTGAAATTTCAAAGAACATTTGAACCATAAATTAAGATAGAGATACACAAAAATATAAACTTACAATGCAGCCTTGACCAATAACAGCAATAGCAGAAATTCATATTGGGGGGGGGGGAAGGAATACCTGCACATTGCTTTCTTCCATTAGAATCTCCTTTGCTTTTTCGCATAATACCCTAACCTACACCAAGAAAACAAGATATCACTGAAGAACAATTTTCTTATTCATCCCACAAGATAAAAAGAACCATTAAAACGTAAACTCTAGACCCTAATAATAACAAAAATTCTTTCACAAGAAAAACAAAAAGGGAAGTATGTACCAAAGGCAACACAAGATAACGTCAAACATTCAAACAATAGCACCTTAGTAAAAAATACATGCTACACACACAAGAAAGATTAATTGTGAGCACATAACTAAATGAAATTGGGGCACCTTTAACATTCTTCTTAAAAGTACAAGAATGGTTGTGGAAGCCCATGGAGAAAACACAACGACGTGAACTACAAGATCCATGAAAGTATTTTCAGATGGTCACTGATAGCTAAGGGTTTATGTTGATTTAGTTTTCAATAAAATAGTTTTCAAGAGCTCTGAAAATATAAAACAGCCATTGGATGACTAAAAAAGACTACTAAATGAAGTTGGGGCACCTTTAACTCTGTTTTCAATGAGTAATTTCAGAAAATCATCAACCACGGACTGTTAGTATTCTGTTCTTTGAGATCAGAAATCTGAACCTAACAGGCCCTAAAATCAATCCCTAATGCCAATATTCTTTTCCTTTTTACAAATTCATTGTTGGAGTTTGCATGTCCTAGTGATTTAGATCGTGTATTTCCATCTCTATTTGGAGTTAATATCTTCCTCCCCTGCACTTTTCTTCTCATCTTAGCATATTTTTCGTTAAGATAATAAAAGAAGATTATACTTATCAACAAAAAAAAAAAAAAAAGATAATAAAAGAAGATTATGAAACAATAAGACATCTCAAAGTACAAGTGCTATTTGAAAATAGAGCAGCACTTCCATGTTACTGCCTAAAATGACCCAAGCATATGAATTATAAAGATATGGAATAATTCAGATTAAAAAAATACAAATTTAATTAAACAGACTACCACATTTAATTCCTATTTAAACCGTAAGCATTTTGGGCAGATTGCAATATTGTTACTAGAAATTACAATGTTACTTCTCATATTTAACAACTCAACAAAACCTTTTCCTAACTATTTAGAGTTGGGTACATGAATCTTGTTTTCCCATTTTACTCTATCTAAAGTAATAAATTTCATTAAACCAGATTATATCTTTACTTAGTATCAATACATATTAGTTTACTATCCTAATGTCACTCTCAAAGTCAACCACACCACTCTTCCTCACTAGTACCGTTATTGGGGAACAATTTTATACGATTGTCTCTTATTTTATCTCCAACTAGTGCTATTTTAACCATCATATAAATGTTTTTTTTTTTTTTTACAACTTTATCCTTTTCTCTTGCTAAACATATATCTCAACATTTATATTTCGGTCACACTATTTTAAGAATATGTTAACTTTTCAATTGCTCAAGATTATGTCCAAAGTTTCACCCAAGCTTCATCCTGGTCATGGATAGATCACCCAGGTTCGGGTCCATAAGATGAGCATATGAGCTGTTTATTAAATTTACAAGTGCACATCAATCATACAAATATGCCAAAAACACCTCCATTTAACTCATCCTTTTTTAATGATATGATTAACAACAAATCTAATTTCTTCCTCTTTCTAGAGAATAAGAAAAAAATATGTCTAGTCATTTTATATCTATAAGATGAGTATATGACTTGTTTATTAAATTTACAAGTGCACATCAATCATACAAATATGCCAAAAACACCTCCATTTAACTCATCCTTTTTAACGATATGATTAACAACAAATCTAATTTCTTCCTCTTTCTAGAGACTAAGAAAAAAAAATGTCTTCGTCTTTTTATATCAATTAACCCTCAATATTCACTGCATCCCTACTTATATTTCTAATTTTGCTAAAGTCAACTTTAGTCTTGTAAACATTAGGGTTAGGATTAGATGTAAAGGAGAAGAGCGAAGGTTTGGAGAATTGCTTGATCCCTCACCTTTTAGAACTATTTTTTTTTTTTTTTTTTTTTTTTTTTGGATAAGTAAAATTTATTGAAAACGCTCAAAAAAAGGGAGCGGAACCCAAGAAAACAAAAAGGCCACAAAGCGCCTTAAAACTTCAACGAGGCCAAAAATACAATAATCTCCTCAATAGATTTATAATCTCTCACTGACACCCAACAAAAAAGAGTGGAAATAATAGAGAACTTAAGCGTAGAAATAGATTTCTTCTTTCCATCAAAATATCTCCTATTTCGCTCGAGCCATATGCACCACCAAATACAAAGAGGCGTAGCCCTCCAAGCCTCCCGAATAAGAGCCCCAACAGAGACACCTCTCCAAGCCTCAATCAACCCTCTAAAAGACATAGGCATAACCCAATGGATTCCAAATAATCCAAGCATCAAATCCCAACAATCTCTGGCCATACTGCAGTGCAAAAGAAGGTGGTCAACGGTCTCCTCATCACACAAGCACATATAACAATGATTGACCACCACTTGATTCCTCCTCCTCAAATTATCCTGGGTTAAAATCTTGCCTAGGACGGAAGTCCATGCAAAAAAGGCAACCTTAAGGGAGGCTTTAGACCGCCAAATAGACTTCCAAGGGAAAGAGCCTCCATAATCAACCGAAAGGCACTTAAAGAAGGACCTAACCTCGAACTTACCGTGAGAGTTAGGATCCCAAAACCAGCAATCCGAATCCCTAACAATGATCGCCTGACGGTACAATACTTCCAAAAGACGAGTAACATCCTCAATCTCCCAGTCCTGAAAGTGTCTCCTAAACTGGACATCCCAAGTCAGTCTCCCATTATTAAGGTGATAACAGTTAACCACCATGGTCTATCTATGAGAAGCAATCCTATAGAGCTGTGGAGAAGCAAGAGCAAGAGGAAGTTCCCCAAAAGAGTAAAAAAGAGAACCCTCACCTTTTAGAACTATTATAATATATGAATTGAGAAAACAAAGGATCGACTAGTATACCCTTGTGTGGCATAGTGAGGTGTATACTAATACAATATGCCATAACACATATGTTTTAACACTCCCCCTCAAACTCAAACTAGAGAGTCTATAGCATATAATCCCAGCTTGGAACAAATTCACTTCGACCAATTATGACTTAGGGGATTAGTGAACAACGTGATTGAGATTTCCCAAAAGGTGTAGTAATATTCCCACTCAATATCTTATCTTGAATAAATTGAAAGTCAATTTCAATATACTTAGTCCTCTCATGAAACACTGGATAAGAGGCAATGTAGAGTGCAGTTTGATTATCACAAAATAACGGAAGAGGAGTTTGAACTGCTGAACCAAGTTCTTTCAAGAATATGTTGCAGCCATGTTAATTCACTAGAAGTTTGAATAATGGCCATGTGCTTAGTTTCAGCACTGGATCATGCTACCACTGTCTACTTCTTACTCCTCCATGTAACCAGATTACCTCCTGAGAAGGTGCAGTACTTATATTGAATCTTCTACCTAAGGGAAAACCAGACCAATCAACATCAGTAAAACCTTCCACCTTAAGGTTCCCATTTGATCCATACAACAATCTGAGACCCAGAACTAGCTTGAGGTATTGAATAGTCCGAAGAACAACATTCCAATAACGCCCTAGGAGCTCTGATGAACTAACTCACTACGCTAACCGCGTATGAGATATCAAGCTAACTAATGTGAGATATATTAGTTTTCAACCAGTCAATGATATCTACCAAGATTGTTAAATAAGTCTCCCCCATTGTTCAAGAGTTTATGGTTACACATCCATAAGAATGTCAGGTGGATGACCACCAAATTAAATCCAGGATTGTCAAATAAGTCTCCCCCATTGTTCAGAGTTTATGGTTTTGCTCACTTAGTTTCTTACAGCCATTTTATATTAACATTCCTTCCACTCATTATTTTTTACCAGCTCCATCACTTCATCTGTTAGTATTCCTTTCTTCCAAATCCCCAGTCCAAGTCACCTCTCATAATTGTATGAAAGAAAATTCCAAACACCTTCAGCCTTAGAAGGACACGCAGGGAAGGAACTTACTAATAAAATTGTTGAGCAAAGGTGACTATATTAAATATGAATCCCACATCCATTGCATTTCTTGAAACAAAATCCAACAAGAAAAGTTATCTAAATCATACGGGAGTTTTCAGATCTTCCTTTTTCTGTACTCTAATTTTGAGAATCTGTGCACAAAATCTTTATTAAATCCCATTTCGTATATTCTCAAACAATTGCAAAACCACATCCTTCTTATTTAAAATATAAACAAAAAACATAAAGTCTTGTGCCTCAACTAAATCAATTTCTCTGAAATAAGCCACTTATGATCTTTGCATAAACCAGAAATTTTCAAAGTCTTTGAGCATGTCTCAGATCAGCTTCGGCATATTAGTTGACCTTTTGATGTTCATTAGAACAGAATGGTTCAAGAGAAATCTAAATGACAATGGTCAGGGTCACAACAAAAAAAAATGCAAATTGGGAATATGCACACATTTAGTAAATTTTATGTTCCAGGCAGAAGCACTGGAAACTCTAGTTGTGTTTCTATAATTGTGACACAATTATGGAGAACAATCCAAAACATGGAGGTTTCAAAAAAGACACTGTTAAGCAATATTATGTAGATGCATTGTGTATATTCAAATATTTGTCTAAGCAAGCCTCTCTGCTTAAAAAATAAAGAGCTATTTATGATCCAAAAACTAGATTTGGTAAAGGATAATAATCAACACCTCAAGGAAAATGCCAGTGGTATATCTTTTTCATGAAGGCTCATAATCAGATTACTGTTGATTATTTAAAGGAACAGTCTCAGTAAACGGGTGACTAGTAGAATGGAGACATTTTATAGTCCAAGTTATATCAGGGCTTATTCAGTGCAATTTCCAGAAACAATTTCCATTATCAAGGTTAAAAAAAAAAAATTAAAAGAAAAAAACAAAAGGCAATGCAAAAAATTGTTTCATTTACTATGCCACTTCCAAAAACTTTTTTAAAAATTTTATGTTAAACAAATGCGAGTTATCCAGAAATCAAAAATTTATGTTTTCCTCTTCTCCTTTTGATTTTAAATCAAAACAATTAAAAGGAATTAAAACAATATATGCTTCTCAAAGTTTTCATATTTTTGAAGAAAAAATCGTTGGTAAATTCACTTCTGAAACTTCATAACAGGCCCACCGGGTTGGGAAAAAAAAAATCACTACTAGGGGGTAGGGGTGAGGTGGTGGGAAGAAAGTGACCTCCAAGATTGTATAGGAAAGAAATGGATTGCTCTAACCAAGTTTACTTGCTAGTTGCTGCTCTGGCAAAATAAAGCAGGGTTGCAATAAAGAGAAATGGAAAAGAAAACAAGATAACAGGAATGTATAGCATATTTCATCACAAATATCTAAATTAGTAAAAAGTCAAATCTTTTATTTCTCTGATCATTGTATACAAGGCTTAAATTTTGAACTTAAAAACCTATCAAGGATCAAAGTCCTAAAAGCTCCGGTCTATGTGTCATAATACCTCTCAACAAATCTAATTCTATCACCAGATCAATCTGAGTTTCTCTGGATCACATCAACATCAACCGTTTTGTAGTTTACAAAAAACTAAATCATCTGAACATTCATAAAACAGCCAAACGAAGCAATAAATCACAAAAATGTACAAACTTGCCCGCAAATCAAGAGAAATCCAAACAAATCGAATCTGATCCATAATAATTCACAGAGACATATCAACGAAACTAGTGACATCTCAAGAAATTTGAAGAATTCAAGAAGAAATGCCAAATAAAAAGACGTGAATCGATGATAGTAATGGAACCTCTTGCTCGGACAAGGGTTTGCACTGCATAAGCTGAGAAATCTGCTCCTCGAGATTGCCATGAGTGCTCGAAGGGACCGGATCGAAGCTCATCTTCGTCTACTTCGAATGAGAGACCCCTTCAAAACCCTAGATTTCTTCTTCCCCGTCGTCGTTCTTCTAGAGAGAGAAAAAGGGAGCTTAGAGAGAGAGAGGGTAGCGAGTGCAGAGTGGGAGCGAGTGGTGGTGGTGAAACCAATGTCGTAAATCACCGCTCTTTTTTTATTTCAAAATATAAAAATAAAATTGTTTTTTTTATTTTTCAGGCCGACTCTCACTTTAAGTGGACTCAAGCGCATCCATCCATCTCTATCAGTTTTTTCATCACTAGTTGTGAACAATAGGCATTTTCAGAATCCTGTCTTGTATTGATGCAACTAAACTGTTTTTCTTTCTTTTTTTTCCAATTATAAAACACCAATTTCATACCACTGGACATATAGGGAGTGATTCTATGCATTTTAAATCCATGATATAAAATTTATATAATCTCAATTAATAGTAAATTTATCTGGGGAATGCAATTCGATAACATATTGTTTGTGCCTAAATTAAATATTTGGTCTCACAAACCATAGTTAACTAAAGGAATAGCAAAATCATCCAGATGAAACGATACATCAGAACTAAAGTCCTATCTTGAAAGCCCCTACCCTGGGCAAAGTTCGAAAACTCTTATACAGCCAAATGTCATAGGATTGGACGTACTACTTTTGAATAGAGTATTCAAATACTCCACACTATAAAAGGCATACCAACTTTCAAGTTGTCACGTCAAAACGTGACAGTTTACTATCAACAAATATTCGATGCAATAACAATCGGACGTCACGTCAAAATATGACAATCTACTATCAACAAATATCCGATGTAACGACAGACAGACGTCACGTCAAAACATAACACTCTACTGCCAACAAATATTCGGTACAACAACAATTGGACATCCCATCAACATCAACTCTTCACCTTATCCTCGCGTGGGCAATTACAAATCAATAATCATAAAAGTCACTTCAAGAGATTCAACAAAATCTTTAAATCAAGGTCGAAGTTTGAAAGAGTTATTCCTACTCTCCACAATTGTCAAAGTTAGATAAGGTCAACCTACAAAACCCCTCACAATTGTAGTAATCAAGAATATTTGATTGGGTGTAGTTAGCTAGGTCGAAGTCAGCTCAGCTGCAAATTTGAACTTGATTTTTGAAAGGGTTATTCCTAGTCTCCACAATTGTTTTTCTTTTTTCCCAATTATAAAACACCAATTTCATACAGTGGACATATCGGGAGTGATTTTATGTATTCTAAATCCATGATATAAAACTTATATAATCTCGATTTAGAGTAAATTTATTTCGGGAATGCAATTCGATAGCATATTGTTTGCGCCGAAATTGAATATTTGGTCTCAAAACCATAATTAACTAAAGAAATACCAAGATTATCGAGATAAAACAATACATCAGAACTAAAGTCCTATCTTGAAAGCCCCTACCCTAGGTAGAGTTTGAAAACTCTTATATGTCCAAATGTCGTACAATTGGACGTATTTACTTTTGTCAAATCAACGTATGCTCAAACATATTGTGTAATAGAGCATTCAAATACTTAACACTATAAAGGATATCCCAACTCTTAAGTTGTCACGTCAAAACATGACATTCTATTGTCAACAAATATTCAGTGCAACAACAGTTGAACGTCTCATCAATGTCAACTTTTCATCTTATTCTCGCGTGGGCAATAACAAATCAATAATCATAAAAGTCACTTAAGAGATTCTACAAAATCTTTGAATCAAGGTCAAAATTTGAAAGAGTTATTCCTACTCTCCATAATTGTCAAAGTTAAATAAGGTCAACCTACAAACCCCCTCACAACTGTACTAATCAAGAATATTTGATTGCGTCTAGTTAGCTAGGACGAAGTCAGCTCAACTGCAAATTTGAACCTGGTAGTCCTAGCTTGCCCGCACACGTGAAATTACAAGCCTACCCTTAAAGCACATTTTGAGACAAACACATACTGAATTAGATGCAGCATTGTACCTAACAACATTAAATCAAAAATGTGACAACATTAAGTCATTATTGCATCCTCAATCTTAAATAACTGTATAACAATGTAATTAGTATTGATAATCATTCCCAGGTTTTAAATATTTGAATCAACTAACAACATTCTTGAAAGATATTGGACACACACACAAATATATATATATATGTATGAATTAGGTGCCACGGGCTATCATTTCCTGGAACCTTTTGAATGATTCTTCTCGCTGAATCTTAAGCTGATTGCGGAAGTTCTTGATGAAATATTCAGCCTGTTTGTTTACATCTTCTCTCTCTTCCTCCATAAGCATCCTCCTTCCCATCCTTCGACGACTCCTCTCAGCTAACTCATTCTTCATCTCGTTTGTTGCACGTTTTCCATCAGAGAAAACCTCTCCACGATGATCCATTTCTATATGATCGGATGGTTAGAGTGTTTGGTCGAATTATCGTCTCTAAAATTAACTCTAATGATTATAGAGAGAGAGAGACAGAGATGCAAATCGTGTTCGTGTTAATTTGTGTTTGTGTTTGTGTTTTGTGTCTCCCTATATATATAGATTTATGAAGGCAATCTCAAACTTGAAGCATGAGTATAACGTGTATAAAAAAGCAAAGGAAAGGCCGAAGAAGTTAGAGAAAAGGGTGTGAATGTGTGCTTGTTGACGAGTGAAAGCCATTTCTGTGGTACTTAATTAGTGAGGCCACAAATCAGAATTTCTTTATTTTATTCCAGCTTTTTGAATGCTTTAATTATTTTTAATTTTTGGACTTGTTTGACTATGTATTACTATATTCTTACATGGTAGGGAAAAAAGAATAAAAATATTTCAATAGACATTGATACTATCTGTTGAAACTTTTTGACGTGTTATCAATCAATTTAAATTTGAGTAGTAGTATTATTTTAACATACTTGGCCGTTTAATCTGGTTCAATTAAATACATAGTGACAAAGGGAAGGCATGTGGTGACAAAAAACAAAAAAACAAGTCTAAACACATGTTTTTTAATTATAAGTAGTTTTTAATAATTAACACAACTTTTAGTACGTGTTTCACAAACATGTTCCTCACGGTTTTTATTCATGGTTGCTATATATTGAAAACTGTAAATTAGATACAGAGTTGCTATATATTGACAACTGTTGCTTCAAAGCCTTCAATTGATCATTTCTTTTGACAAAAAGACTCTCTTGCTTTACTTGTTTTTCTTTCTTTAATTTCTATGTGGTTAGAGTAGCTTTTGATTTTTCCTATTTAATTGATATGTGTGTGTGTGTGTGTGTGTATAATTGTGTGTTTTTATGACTTGTTCACCTAAAGTCATTCTTGGTTAGACAAATAAAAATGTCTGGCTACCAAACATAAATCTAGTACGAAGATATATAACTATTTAGTACATCCCTTTCATAACCTTTGATTAAAAGTTTTTTAGTTTGGAGAGCATTTAAAACACAGATTTGGATACAAGAACAATATTTTTGTGCAAATAAAGAAACACCCTTGATTATATGTATAGTATCACCTATGACATAGTTTGGTAAGAAGGTTTGAAGCAGGGGCACTTTTATGAAAGAATTGTATTCCTATCTTGTCTGCGTGACACTCGTTGAATACTCTTTGGACACTCAACCTCGGTTCCTCTTATCAATATGGTGTCATACGTATTGCTACTAACCTAGCATTATATCATCATACCTACACCAAAAAAAGGGACTGTATTCAATACTTTATATACGTATCTACAAATAAAAATTAAATTTTATTATTTTGAACATTTCGCCGACACTTCTAGACACTTAGCCTGATATTTTCTAACATTTCTAAAACAAATTTCCTTGGTAATCTTGAAAATAATATGAACACATTTTAAAATATTCAACTTTTTCTTTAAGAAAAATTGGCATTATACATGTGATCACAAGTGAAGCATAAAAGATAATTAGTTAATTTAAAGCAAAAATACTATTATGACAAAGTAGTAAGTGTGTGAGATATAAAAGTCATTATAATAATTTTTTTTTTTTTTTTTTCTTAGTTGGTATTCACACACGTGCCTCCACCAAGACTCAAATCTCCGACCTCCCTTTGGAAAGTAGGGGTCTGGTACTGCTAGACCATTGGCATGTTGATATAATAACATAATTTCATTTTCTAAATCATTTCAAATCAACTCTTAATATAAAAATTGGAAATGAATCAAATATATAGATGAATATAAATAAAAATATTCATACTTATATATAGTTGTGTCTACAACGTACTCATATTCTACTTTTTAAAATATTAACGTGTTAATATATCTGTATCGTGTTGTGTAGGTATCCTGTCTATGTCCATGTTATATAACAAGAGGACCATCAATGGCCTTCTCTCTGTTTAGCATAATGGGGTTGAGTTATGTCTCTCTTAAAATTTCATGTTTACGTGTCTCACTTATATCAAATATATACACATCATTTAGTAATGCAATTCGACTAAGCTTCTCTTTTCTCTTCAAACAATAAATCATGAAGGTTGAGTATGATTAGGGGTTTTTTTTTTTTTTTTTTTTTTTTTTTTTTCTTCTCTGTGGAATATTGAAGGTTGAGTTTGAATGGAATTTAAAGATTTAATCTCTTACTTGGGTGTTCAGCTCGGCTAAATAAATCATGGTTTTTATCATTTTTTTTGAACATTTAGAAGGGTCACTCATTCATTTAGCACTCGCTTTGTTGAGATTAATTTACCAAAAGGTGGAGTCCGATGATGGTGTGATCCCCGTTTTTTGTTTCTACAACCATAGAAATTAACCTGACACTTTAAGGTTTACACGAGATACTAATTCACTGAGCTATCGAGACATCAGCACATAATAATTAGGTTAGTATATGTATACATGATAACGGAGTAAGCTAGTGCAGAGATGAATTTGTAATTTAACAACAATGGTATAACAATGTAACTATGATTGATCATCATTCCAGGTTATTTGAATCAACTAACAACATTCTTGAAAAATAATGGACACACACACACGCATACATACATACACGTACGTATAGATATACATGTATGTATGATTTTAAGTGCCGCGGGCTATCATTTGCCGGAAGCGTTTGAAGGAGTCTTCTCTCTGAATCTTAAGCTGATTGCGGAAGTTTTTGATGAAAGCTTCAGCCTGTTTGTTTATATCCTCTCTCTCTTCTTCCATAACCACCATCCTCTTTCCCATCTTACCCCTCCTCTTAATAACTTCACTCCCCATCTCATTCATTGTACACTTTCCATCACCATCATTATCCATTTTATATATAGTGTTTGGTCGAATTATTGGCTCTAAAATAACTCTAATGATCCAAGAGAAAGAGCAATTGAGTTTGTGTTTGTGAGTCTGTGTTTGTGTCTCTCCCTCTACATATATATATATATATATATATTAGAGGTAATCTCAAACTTGAAGCATGAGTTTAACGTGTATAAAAACAATGGAAAGGGAAAGGTTGTTAATGTCATAATGTGTGTGCTTGTTGACGAGTGAAAGGCATTTCTGGGTAACTGAGGCCACAAACATAATTTCCTTCTTTTATTCAAGCTTTTCAAATGCTTTATTTATTTTTAATTTTAGGCCTTGTTTGACTATGTATTCTTTCTTACATGGAAAATACTTGGTAAAAGAGTATCAATACATTCACAGGGTGATGTATATCTATATATTGTAACTTTTTATCTGGTACGTACACAGAATATTTATCTAACCAATTTTAATATGAATATGATTTTTTTACATGTTTAGTTATGAATTGATGGTTCAAAAAGAAACATGACACATTAAATTATCATATCAATTTAAATCGATACGATTATAACACGAATAGGATTAAGTAAAATTTAAATTCACTAATTTGAGTTGTGTATTTGAATCATATTAATGTGTCACTCTTATTTTTCATTGTATTATCAATCAATTTATTATTATAATTTGAGTACGTAGTTCTATTTTAGCATAGTTGCTTTTTGAATATGGTAAAAAGTAAACACAAAGTGACAAAAGAGTGTTTAGAAATTAGGACTAAACAAAGTTAGGACATAACATGAGGCGAAAAAAATAAATAAATAAACAAGTCTAACCACATGTTAATTGATTATAAGTAGTTTTAATTTACTTTGACCAATCCCTTTCAAAACCTTTGATTAACGAAATATGTTTTGTTTTCTCATTCGATCCCTCCTAATACCCTTGATTAAATAGTAAGAAGTAGAGACCATGTAACCTTTGATCAGACTAAAAAATGTTTGTGCCAATTTAGGATTTTTTTTTTTTTTTTTTTTTTTTTTTTTTGTTCTTTCTTCTGTTTTTTTCCCCAACTTTGTAAAGAAGTAAAAGTAAACCAATACAAAAGATAAAGATTTTTTTTTTTTTAAATTTTTTTTTATTTTATGTTGAATTTGGAAGCACCAATTCATAGCTTTAGTGCATTCTCATGCATAAAATTAGAACCTTTGAATTGAAAGCGGAGGCTCTAATTCCAATTTGAATTACTTTTACGCAGAAATATTCCATTGAATAACTTAATCTCCATTACTAATTTTTTGTGTACATGGGTGTTCCTAATCATCCACTATGTTCATTTCAAATGTTTACTCTTACCATAACTACAAATGTTCATGAACATACCCAAAACAATAGAAACATTTTGAGGAACATGCTATAAAATAAAGGGGTTTGAAAAAAAATAAAAATCAAACTAAAATACACTGAACAAAATAGAAGCAAATGTAAAGTGGTCCTTAAACCCTGGTATACATAACATGAACATGAAATTTACAGTGTAAATGTTCGAGGGAATTTATTTCTGCAACAATCATTTTGTAGATGTGGAAAAACATACGAGGTTCATTCCAGTTCCCAGTTTTCGGTGGAATTGGAGGGTTTCCAGTTCCGTATCACGGGATAATCAATCTGGGTTGCACCTGCAATAGAATCAAGGCATATTTGTTAATCTTCGACACCAGTTTAAACTTAATTCTAGCCTTACAAGACAAATCAGATTCTGATAGCCTGAATCATATTCCCCAATTCTAATTTCATGAGGCCATGTTAACTGCAAATACGGAAACTTTAAAGATGCAACAAATAATAGAGGACGTTATAGAAATAATTACTGGAATGATACATTAAAGATTGATATTCTCTTATTTCCACTTCCAATTAAAGTAAATTTCATTCACTACAGAATGGCTGATGACATTAAACAGTAAAATGTTTGATGAAGGAAATCGTCTATCGCCTGAAGAAGAAAAGGACTAGAAAAATGATTTGCCAGTGCAAAAACAGTAAAGTCAGTATGATATTGATCCATGGAAAGCTTATAGGGTGTCTGAAATTATAATGGCCAGCTCCATACCCCTAATCCTATATGTATAACAAAACAAATGAAAGCATAATCATCTATGAAACAATCAAAAGACAACAGCTTAGATTAAATGACAGAATCCAGATTATTGTCATCAGAAAGAAAGTCAACCCCCAACTAATAGATAATAAATAACCACACCCCGTCTTTTCAGCCTCTCAAGACTGAGTTATGGACGAGCAAAGTTGCTAACAATTCCAAATGAGTGAACTAGCCGTGTCAGATGACATGTATGTTTAAAAAATGCTCACAAGTTGCATTCATGTGTAACTGATAAGATGTTGAAATAACAAAAGAAGTGAGTGAAGATGAGCACCAAAGTGTGTTTACAAGGAGAAGACGAAAAAAGGCAAGGGGTTAATCAAGAGGGATTCAAGTGTTAAAAAGTAGACTATTCAGCGGTTTTGATAAAGGATCTTCAAAAACTGAGGCCAGGAAGAGGAGGAATAGGAGGTAGTCAATATTCTGGGCATGAAAGTATGTTTACAATTAAGAGGTAGATATGATAGCTTATTTCCTTTCTTCCCCACCCCCAAACTCCAAACTAGGATGTGGGAAACAATGAACAATACACAAGCCCACAATTTAGAGGATACAGTACAACTGTTTCCATTCCCGTTCCACGTATAATGTTAAAGTTCCCTCTATTGAAGTTTTAGTCCTAATACAAGTAAATATTAGCAGCCTATAAATATTTATGCATTCTTACACTTTGGTTTTAAATCTGAAAAAAGGGTTACCCCAATAAACAAGGCTCGAGCCTTTGCGATGTCTAGAGAGGGTTAGATGCAAACAGCATTATCTCCGCATGCAGAGAGGCTGTTTCCTGAAAATCCAAGAACCTGATACCTTTCTCATTGAAAAAACATAAACCATTCTTCGACATTTTAATATTTATATCTACATGGTTTTGCTACCTTATGACAATACGACCATCATCCCATATGAATGGGGGTTGGCACCTTTTGACAATACAATCAATTGCTAGCAACATCTATTTTAAAGTTTTCTAGTGCTATCGCACACCACCTAAATTTATACAAGGAAGATGCATATTTTTCAAGACACGCTAATTAAGTATGTTTGCTTCAGTTCTCTAACAATAGTTTTAAAGAACATTGAAAAAAGAAAATATTTTTACAAAAATTGAAAATAGAAAATAGTTTTTAAAACAACTAAAATGGACTATTCTCTGAACCAAACATGCCCTACAATTTTCCTATTCACTTTAAGTGATGGTAATAGGTGGCTGAAACCACCAACTCAGAGATTCAGGGCAGGATCATGGCCTACCGTAGACTTTAGAGTTCAATTGTTAAGAAGTGCACATCCTGTTTTATATTTATATAAGAAAGGTTTACATCAGTTTCTGAAGATGGAACACTGCAATAACTCAACAGGAAATTTCTTCAGTCACAAGGATGGTACAGTTACACTTTTGGCAATGGTAAACAAGACAAGCAAAGTTATGAATTTGCCTTATTCTGAAAAAAATCATATCTAATTAATAAAATATTTAAACAAAAAAATGTATAATTGTTGATAAAAGATATAAGAGTTGTGGAGAAACAGTCCAACTTGTGCAATGCATGCTCAACAAATCAGATTGCCTGATTTTCGCGTATGTTAACTTCCACTTAATGAAAATTCCTGAGCTCAATGACTTCCCACCACAAGTAGTTTTGCTCACTGTAGATCGAACCAGCAAAAATTCTTGACTCGTTAAACTCAAAATTACATTACATTTGGGAGACTTCAACACAATGTTTTTGGTAATACATCATATTTACTCATCCTCAAATGAAAAATGGTACTGAAGCATGGATCCCTCTAGTATGCGGAAACTGGAAAGTGATTGATTAGTGATTAGACTAAGCTCTGCTTAACTTGGAGCGCGGTATGATGGGGGTGTTCGTCTACAGCTTATATAGATCGCTTAAATTTTTTTTGAATGCATTTAAGGTATATAAATGCAAGATTTGGTTTTCTTTTTGTTCAATAGAGGATAATACGTTTTTTTTTTATAAGTAATATAGAGGATAATACATGAAACATTATTTCTAAAATATATGTTTTCTGCTCACTTTGGATGCTTGGAATTAAATAGTGTAAAGACACAACCCTACATGTTTCTTCTTTGCACGGGTATCTGGTTGTCTAATGCTATTGTGCCTGTTGCCTTTAAATCGCACCATTATGTCTACAGCCTAAACATCAGGGGAAACAGTAAAATAAGTATGGAATTGATTAATTTAGCATTCTATAAAAAAAAAATATACTATGCCTTGGAATATAATATGCCTTGGATCAGATTGCAGTCCTACAGTACTACTGAATTATGGAACCTTTGCATGCGATTTAAGCGAGCATAGTGCTGAATGTATCCAAAATTCATGAAACAATTCTCAGGGTGTAGAAGAGGTGATCGACAGAACATAAGATAGTTATCTTGTCCTTGAGACTATGCAAATATATGATGGTGACAACTGATACTTATTTTCTAGTACAAAAATTTAAAATTCAGTTGACAAACTTCCTTGAATCCTTTCATACAAAGTCAAATATATTAATAGTAACCCAGTAAAAAAGTTAATTAAGCGAATGTTGATTATCAACATAACAGATGGGATAAATCATCCTAAGGCTTTGTTTGGATAAGTATAAGTTATGATGGAAGAGAAAGGAATGAATAACAATAACATATATTCTTGTTTGGAAAAGGTAAAGAAGAGAAAAGAAATGAAACTATCTTATTAAATTTACTATCATCTTTTCTTCTTTACAATTTTAATGTTACTTTCTGTATTTTGAGAGTTTCATTAAAGTGTCTATCATTTCTCTCCAAATCCTCCTACTTTTGGAAGGATGGTGAAAATATAATTAGAGGGATTAAGCAATCCCTCCTAATCCTCTGTTTTCCTTCCGCAATCTAAACCAAACATGAAAATAGCCATCCCTCGATTTATTTTCTTTTATTCGGCAACCAAGCCTAAGTTTCTTGATTAACGAAGCAAGAGACTTTCTACCAATTAGAAGTCCCATAAGACCAGAACAATTGATAAAGTATAATAAAGTTACCCAGCTATGAAAAAAATGTACCGTATACGCATATGTATAACAACAACAATCAAGCCTTTTTTCCCGAATACTGGGGGTCTGCTACATGAATCCTATGTTTCCATTCAGGCCATAGTTATCATATCCTTCCTTACTAACTCTACATTAACTTTGGGAAGACTTTGGTCTTCCTCTTCCCCTAATATTACCCTCAATGTGAGCTATGTCACTTTTCCTCACTCGCGCACTTAAAAGGAGTTAAAGGTCTTCTTTGCACACATATGTAGACACATGACCAACAAAATATATCATACCACTTGAACATCCTAAAATGGTAAAAGAAGTAAAACCCACATCCCCTTCTGATGCCAACAACTAATTATACTAACCACACATATTAATTCATTTAAACTTTTAAACAAACACACAGCAAAACACGCAGACATCTATGCTAATATATGTAAAGAAATAACCTCAAATAGATTCGGGTATGGTCTCAAACAGCTCGGCCGCAAACTCTGGTTGTGACTCTTGACATCCCTTGTTCTTACAATTGGGGATTGTCTCGAACTGTTCCGCCGGCAACTTCTCCGACAAAGCCCCAACGTGAAACTCGATCATCCCCGATTTGGAATCGACATTCATTCCGGTCACGGGCACCCACAAGAACAGCTTCTTGGCTTGAATGCCCGAAACATCCGAGACCGACCCATAAGTGAGCTTGCCTTTGACTTTCTTGTCATACCAAACAAGCTCATCGAACTGGACGTAACAGGGACGGTGGAGTTCGATGGTGAACGTGCCGTCAGAGGAGAGAGAGTAGGACTTGACGGCGTTTGGGATGATACCCTTTGGGAGGCCGTACTGGGGGAGGAGGTCGTGGACGTCTGTGATTGAGTTGATGGGTCTGGTGGATAGAGAGAGATGGGTGTTGGAGAAGAGGATGAGAGAGAAGAGGCAAAGAGAGATCGATGGGATGAGTAGCTTAGGAGGGAACGCCATTGACGCAGAGCTAGATTGATAGAGAGAGAGAGAGAGAGAGAGAGAGTCAATGAATGACTTGGCGAGACACAGAAGATATCGGCAAAACTTATGAATTCCTGTGGAAAAAAGTTTTCGGATTTGGCTAAGATTACGAAATTACCCTCGGGATGAGGTTGGTGGTAGATTGGTCTTTGTTGGTTTGATTTGTCATTTGGTCATGACAATATTCAAACTACATTATGAGAAGAGTGTTCACACAAATTTCTGAAATTATGGACTGTTTGGTGTTGCTTACTTTTCATAATTAAAGCATTTTTTAATTTGTTTAATGGCAATTCCGTAAATGTACAAGAATACTTTTAATGGAGTGTTCTTACATTTGTTAGGTATGACTTTATAGAAGGATAAAATTATTGAATTTCAAATAGGTTAATAAAGTATAGAAGTTCTATTCAAAATGTAGTTTTAAAAGTGATAAATCTCAAAGTCTCAACTTCATTTAAAACTCTATCAGACTTGAGGTCATCTGGTGCGTTGTTTTGCCATCTGAATGGCAGAATTGTTAGAAAAATCAGGACCCCTCGACAATAGGCTTGTTGCTAGCTGCTCTATGGACTTCTTTTGTTTTGTTTTTTGTTTTTCCTTTCCAACACCTCTTATTCTTTTCAAATGTAAAATTTTTATTTCTTCGCCTTTTGAATATTTTTTTTCTTTTAAATTTGTCAAATGTTTAAATTTTTCCTTTGCAATGTGTCCCAAGGGGATGTCAACTCTCTTTCTACTCTGAAAGGTGAGAAAGTACTACGAAAATCATCTATTACTTGGAAGTTAGGAACTCAAAAATCATACTCAAACCAGTTCTCAATAGAAACGTTCAGCTTTTGGAATACCATTTTAGCAGTATGATTTCAGATCAATTGTTCCTGCAACGGGGTCATTTTAGCATCATTCTAGAATATGAGAAGCTGCACCCTTCTGAATTAGTGTGTGTGTGTACCTTGGCAACATTGCCTCTCTAGATCTTCTACTTCGGAAGATGAGAAAGTACTACTATGTTACAACCCTTGGTGATAATTAGGGTATAAACGAAGTTGGATGTTCTTTTGCGTGTTCTGTTATCCATAGAATATGTACATAATGTGTCCTGTGACATGCTAATACAAGTAAAACTTTATTCAAAACACCTCCCTGGGGAAAAAATGTGTTGTGCTTCATGTAGTATTGGCAAATTAAAGGCAACATTTTATTTTTTTGTTGATAAATGAAAATTACGAAATGTTGACATGAAACACAGTGGAGTAATTTATGAGCTTCAGTTTCGTTACAGCTTTTTTTTTTTACTTGGTATCATACCAGTGGAGCAGAATAACTAAGAGCACAGTACATTTCTAGATGATCCTGAAGTTGGTCATCAAATCTGACAGGCAGTTTCTTACAGTTTGAACAGAAAATAGTTGCACACTAAGAACTGAAGTTTCGATATAGATATATACACATTTATCCCCTTAAATTACATCACTCAAATTTCCAGGTACACCAACATTGGAAATCCTGAAATGGAAATACAGAAGGCAAATGATTGAATAATACCTTCCACTGCTACCTTTCCATCAACAGAAGCATCTTTGCGCCGGGCTACTCTGTAATCAGCATCGGAATTTCATCAATGGGAGATGGAAGCTGCAGATTGCACAAAGGAAAACAATGATTCAACGTAGAAAAACAGTAAAAGTTGATCTATTGCAAAGCATATTGTTGGCTAATGTTTGGAGGGCGCGGGTTGGATATTATAAAAAAAAAAAAAGTACATATAGCTCAGAAAAATATTGGAAGTTGTTTAAGCTGCATAACGAGTGGAAATAATATGAGTATTAACCAAGGAAAATTAACAACAAAAAGGATATATCAAAAGCATGAAAAATTTATAAATTGCTACCGCACATCAATATTGCAAATTTTAAATAAAAAAATAATAGTAAATGGTGAAATTTTTTAATGAAATTTTTTCTGCTTACAGGGATGCTGGTGCACGCTATGAGCAAATGCAAACAAAATGAATCTTTGACAAGTATATGCCATATGATGTCAAGGGTACAAATAATGCACACTGCAGTAAATAAAAAGGACACGACCACAATCATTTCATAAAAATAATATCTACATGAAGTAAGGTCAAATATGATATGAATATTAAATTAAATTCAAATATCAATGAACATAGTTGCGTAGTTAATATAACTATAAAGTTCATAATTACACTTGTAAAATATAAATATATGTATGTATGTATGTATGTAAATTTAAAGGCTTTCAGTATTTTCAGAATCATACTAGCAGCATATAAGAAGATTGAGATGTGTCTTCAGATAAATCCCATTTTCAATCGACGATAATTTCATCCTAATTTTAATTATATCCCAATTCTATATATTTTGAAATAGATCGTGATAGTTTGCAACATATTACCGAGAATTTGAAAAATCAAGATCACACGTAGATACCTGTACGTATCTCACGGATATCTTATATATCTATTTACATATCATGTTTCCATTTTTATTCCAGGGTATTGACTGAAATTGTAGAGTTACAGCTCATCCCTTTTTTGATAAAAGATGAGTGCTTTGATTTCATCAAAACAATATTACAAGGCTATTTAGGAATTTTGTGAGTGTTGAAAAGAGCGCAACAGTGATGCCGAAATTACAACATTGGGTGTATGGTACATATGGGTGCACTAAAATTTTGATAATAATAAAGGCTAGCAAACTTGTGAGATTAACAAGTTAAAAGGTATTCCTTGAAAAACAGAATTGACAAAGAATAGGCTAAATCCATAATTAATATTGTGTTTGAAGAAAATTGTAAAATCTTCTCATAGTCTTAAAGTCAATGCAGGAGGAAATCATATATACTTCAAAGTTAGAACAAAAGGGTATAACATAAAACATACGACTATTGTCTATACATTTTTTTTATAAAATAGAACAAAACCAACCAATCACATGATAAACATAGAGGGAGAAATACTCATTGCAGAAATTTAGTGATCTTTAACATTTAACCTGACTAGAATTCTGTTCTTTTATTAAGTATTTTTTACGGTAAAGAACTAAAATCAGACACCTTAAAATTTGTTTGACTACCGTGCTAACCATCCAATCTGCAACAATTTCACTTATTTAAAGCAATTATTATAGTAATGATATAAACTTACTTAAGATATTCAATAATTACTATTATTAAAGTAGCCATTTCTTAAATACAAGCCTAACAAGTGTAAGGACATTGGTTCGACCTCAAGAGCAGCCATTTTGTGCAAAAACAATGCAAAAAATTAGGTCTGTCTCCAATCTTTTCCTTCTAGCATCCCACGTAGGTAGGCTAGGCAGACATGTGCTAGCAATGGTCTTTCTATTCAATAACTATAATTATGGCTTGAAATGAAAGGAATTATTCATAAGACAATAATCAATCAGGCCTAAATGTGTCACCTAGAATTCGGCCAATTTTTTTAAAAAATACAGGGCAAACAGCGCAATATGAATCCACCATCATCCTTGCCTTTATCCTAAGCGAATAGGGTCAACCACATAAATTCTCTTCTTTTATTCTATTCTATTACACACCATGTCTCTTCTATTTAATTTTTTAAAGTCATTATTAAATACTTCATCCCACATTAATTTTGGTCGACCTCGTCATCTCATACCAACTACTGGCTATGCAAATTAATCTTCCTTTTTCTTAATGGTGCATTGCCGGTCTACGTTCTGTGTGTCTATAACACCCAAGTCTATATTCGCTTATTTTAACTAATAGACGGTATTCCTAATTGATCCCTCACACTTACATTAGTTAATTTACTCTCCTAGTCACTCCTAGCATCCATCTCAACATTCTCCTTTCAGTTACATAAATCTGTTGCCGCATAAGATGGTTGGCATAATGATTGTCCTTTAGAATTTCCCTTTTAGTTTCTTTGGTATTGTTTTATCACATAGGATACACTAGCCCATCTCCATTTTGTCCATCCTACTCCAGTCCTGCTAGTATTATCATCATCTAATTTTCCATTTATTATTATTAAAATTTGGCATTACTGATCCCACGTATCAAAAATGATTTTCTTAGAGCAACCCCTTCAGTCTTAAATTGCAATTGTTATGTTATTATTTTCCGAGCCTTTATTAATGTTGGCAGACAATCTTCTTTTTTATGATTGTCTTCCTCTGCGTTTTAGTTTGACACCTCCCTCATCTAGCAATAGGATAAGTCAACATTCAATCTCCAAGGCCGGTTTCTGTTGAGAACAGAATAGTGTTCGTGTCCAAAGGTGAACAAACCCCACACTTCTAGAGTTCACTGATTTTCGCAGGTCCGGGAAGGGCTTGTTCTGCTCACTTTTGTTTGATATGTTTCTAATGCATTCCTCCAAGTTTACAATTTTGTTCTCAAGACTTACAAGTTATCCAACAAACACTATGTCATCAGCAAACAACATGCACCACAAAATATCTTCTTGAATATCTTTTGTATTACATCTAAGACTAGCATAAATAGGTATAGGCTAAGTACTGATCTTGGGTTTAGTCCCACTTTTATACACAGATTGTTAGTTTCTCTACATATGATAGATACAAACTCTAATCTTTGTCTTGTTACACATATCTTTTTTTGTAAGCCCCACCAAATTATATTGCTGGGAACTCTATCATATGTATTTTCTAAGTCCATACCATATGCAATCTGTTTGTTGGCTTCTACATTCTTCTATCAATTCTCTAATCCAATGAATGCCCTCCGTAGTAGATCTCCCTAGCATAAATCCAAATTGATTTTCAGACACTGTACTTTCATTTCTTTTTTTGATAAGTAACTGTAGTTTCATTTCTAAATCTTTGTTTTACAACCCTTTTCCAAAATATCAGTGTATGACTCATTAAATTAATTCCTCGATAACTACTTCAATTTTGTGTATTGCTTTTATTTTTATAAATTGGTACTTCCTTAGTTTCTCTCCATTCATTAGGTATCATTCCTTTCCAGAATTTTATTGAAAAAACTTGGTACTCATTCAAAACCTACTTTTCTTAAGTTCCCCAAGCTTCTATTAGTATGTGAACATGAAACTGGCTTAAATTTTAACTTCTTTCCCCTTAAAATTGAAATCGAAGAGCTTGATACCCTTCATTAGCTTCCCAACTGAATATTGAATTTACCATAACCAAAATGGTTAGAGAATAATTCTTCGAACTTATCAATACCAATGTGATCAAAAGGTATCACAGCTAATGAAATCCTCACCTTTTAAGGACATTTTCCAAAAGGACAAGAGGGCCATCTTTCTTTTCCCTAACATCCCTTGCAAACCCTTTTGAGCCTACGAAATTTCTTTCAAAGAATACCCCTGCGATCCGTCACCTCCACATTGGGCCACATTTTTATGATGTTCAAAATGAGAAACAATTCCTCCTGCTGCTTTATTATTAGTAGTAGTACACTTCCAAGGCAGAAACTTTTTTCTTGTTTAACCTTCAATCCCCTAGGTTTGCAATCATAATAACATTCAAGATTTGCGTACCTTGATAGGTTGAGAACATTTTTGCATTATAATAGAGCATAATTTAACTAAGAAAGTTAGGACAAGGTACAATTAAACAATAAATAAACTGGATAAAGTCGGCCAGGCTAGCTAAGAGCCAAACAGAAGAAACAATGACACAACACAGACCAATCAAAAAATTCAGATGAGTACAATTCAAGGGATCAAAGCAAATTAAGGTTTCCTCCTTTAACTAAACCATAGAAAATTAGAAACTGCTAAACCTTTTGGCCTCCCAAGGCATCAATATTTCTGCCTTTACAAATAATTTTGCAAAGACAGTTACCCAGGGATCCCATCAAAACAATAATTAACATTGAATTGACTATGCATGCATAAAAGATATCCATCACTGCAAACAACAATAGGTTAATTTCTGCCCACATGAATCATGTGTCCAGTAAAATTACAAATATTTTATTAAGAATTAGCAGGATTAAACATCAAACTCCTAAATAGAAAGATAAAGAAGTAATTTGCTAATGTCTCGTACATTTAATTTGATTGCAAACACCTAGAAGTATGAAATTCAAATCTATAAAATATTATTATGGAGCTTAAGAGTTAAAAATGATAATCAAGACTCCGGGAATTACACAATAAGTAAATACATCAGTCCAAAATCAAGACATCATTCAAAAGCATCTTTTACTAAAAAAAAAAAAAAAAAAGAAGATCCAATTAATTAGTTATCCTGGAAAGTCAAACAACTTTGCACCCTAACTAGAAAAAAAGGCCATATTTCTCAGTTGATATATAGTTGTTCAACTAACATTACGTTTTCAACACCAAAAAGGTATTCCAACCAACCAAATGATACAAATCTTAAAAATAAGACATCTATCTTTTACCATAAGTAATGAAAATTCTAGATTGCTCTTAAAATCAAATCAAAGCATGTCTTCCCTTGGAGTTAATGACAGCATTTATATTAATCTATACATTACTCAACTTTACTTTCACTATTAGATCAGTCTATTAAATCACATTGATCTCCTCGTATTCCACTTCCAAATATTTTAAAAATAAAAAAACAAAATGATCTCGGAATTGACCAAAACCAATGAAAATTCTAGATTGTTCTTCAAATCGAATCGGACCAAGTTTTTTACAAAAAAAAATATATATGAAATAGGCCCTTGGAGTTATACATGACTAAACTTTGTCTTCAACATAAGATCAGTCTATTTAATCACATGATCTCCTCATATTCAGCACTAACTTCCATTTCCAAATACTATGAAAAACAAAATGAACTCGTACAACTTCTACGTCACACTCAAATAGCCCTAAATTATCCGCATCAAATCATATAATTCACAGTCTCACAGAGCCCATCGAAGACCACACACGCACATACACACACAAAAAGGATTCATGAATTCAATAAAACTACCAGAACAATAATTCAGAGTTTCATACCTCAAGAACTCGCTTCAAAGATTGGCCACACAACACCGAGACCTTATCGCGGCAAGAATGCAGAGTCTTGAACTGATCAACATCGAGCTTCTTGTTGATGATCCCCACCTGAAAATATATGCTATCGGACGGCGGCAAATCGACTCTGATCTCATCGACATCGAACCACAAAAAGAACCGTTGGACCTGAATGCCATCCAAATTTGTGATTGACCCATATTTGAGCTTCCCTGTAATTTTCGTCTCGTAATAGACCAAGTACTCGAACTGTATATAGCATGGCTTTCCGAGCTCGACGACGAAGCTTCCGTCGTCGGAGAGAGAGTAGGATTTGACGGAGTCCGGCAAGAGACCGCTCGGGAGGCCAAATTGGGGGAGAATTTCGTAGACAGTTGGGGGATCGGAGGAGGGGGAAATTGCGGGGACGGAGATGATGTAGAGAGAGAAGAGGAGGAGACCCAAATGGGGTTTTAGACTGGGCACCATGGTTTCCGATAGGGGTGGTCTAGAGAGAGAAATGTTGGGGAGAGAGAGGGAGAGAGAGAAAGAGAGAGAGAGAGTTGAAAGAGGATGCAACTTCTTGGAAGGTGGGGAAACTGAAATATGACTATGGGAATGGCTTGTCGTGTTCTATATTTGGTACGGGTGTGTGTATGTACTGTGTGTGATAGTTTGGTAGATCCAACGGACGAAAATCAAGCATTATACAGTAATTACAGCAAAATGTTAAAAAATAAATAAATTGACCAGTGATATGGCCTCACCCTTCAAAATTTCAAATAGAGGGTACTATGCCAGAATTGTCACGATGTCAATATCTTTGTTTGGTTGATTAAAGAAATAAAAAAATATTGCAAAAAAGTTTATTTTGCTGGTTTGTAAAGTTGAAGAGGTCTTCTACTGGTTCGCAAAGTCAAAGCAAAAATAAATAAAAACATATTAACAAAGCTGTCTCTCGATTGAAGGTATTAATTCAATTTTTTTTTTTTAAATATATTCATTAACTTCTTTATAGGTATTTCATTGAACATAACTCTAATGTAAGATACATTAATATAAACACGTTAACCACATCAGTTCAAATGATGTATAACTCCTTTAGCAATCTTGCGCTTCTGATTATGGTAATAATTTCAAAATTCATATAGTTAGATACTTTTTTCACAATCCACTTTGTTTTGCACACTTTCTTTTTGGTGCTAATGATATCCCTCAAAACATATTTACATGATTGAAGGGTGTCAATACATGCAAGTCTCAACAATTTATCCCTTAGACAATGTGAAATGTCAATCACCCTTCTCATGACCTAGTATCCTGGTTAGCCTAACCCTACTTTTCAATTGGCTCATTTTTTTATTATATTTTTTCTTTAGATTATAGTGCAACCATAGAAGAGTAGAGTGTGAATATTGCATCCTTTTATGATATACTTGTTGGGTTTTAATCAAATAATCTACATGTAGAAATTAAGAATACTACAATTAATTAAAGAGATAATTTAGTCTCGTACCTAATTAATGATTAAAGCATAAATACCTTTAGATTTAGTCGAAATAATCTCATGAGCGAAATACCACTCCCAGGCAAACATAATAGCACGTGCATAAACCATGTATATCAAGATAATAATAATAATGCATCATAACTTTATTTTAGATGCAAATAACCGTCACCATAAGGTATAAACTGGAGGAAAAATAAATGTCACCACAAAGTATGAAGAAACTAACTGCAATGTAGCATATATAAAAGAAATACCAGACATCATAACATAATGACTCTCGAACACCTATCCGAATCACGTGCTTTATAAATACTTTATTATCTTCGGTTGAAAACCTTTAATGAGAGGATTTGCAACAATCTTTCTGTAACCATATAGGAAATCTTAATGGCACTTAAATCTTAACATTCTCACACTTGAAAATGTATTTTATGTCAATGGGTTTACTACGCTTGGTCACTCTTAATTTTTTTTATATATACTTAATTAATATAAGTCTTTAGAGAAAGTTTAAGTATTCCAGTATCGTAATCTCTATGGATCCTAATGCCAAGGACCTGCATGTCCTACATGCCAAACATTTTACATAAAATTCTTAATATCATGTATCGCATGAATGTTATTGCCACCTTGCAAAATATCATCAACATATAAGACAAGAAAAACAAAAAGACTCCCACTAAACTTGAGGTATATGCATTTATCCATAACATTCTTTTTGAACCTACAATTAGTAATCACTGTATCAAAATTCAGATACCACTGCTGTAAAACTTGCTTAAGTCATAAATGAGCTACAATGAAATAATGACTCTTAAAGAGTCATTTAATGAAATTGGAGAAAAATCTCAAAGAAATTAACATTTAACTTTTGCTTAAGCACTTAGCCATCAATTTTGTCTTATATCCATCATACACCTTAAAATCACCAACTATAGCACACTTCCAAGCTTTAGAAGATCTCTTAAGCTAAACAGGCTTAGAAACTAAATTGGAAACTGAAAGAAGAGACTACAAATTAAGGAGAAAAAACTAAATGAGTGGGAATAGCTGAAAGATTGGGAATAGTGTGATACCCCTCGGATCCAAGACACGGGTTGATCAGGCCCAGGCCCAAACCCGAGGCAATATCAAACAATTAATATTTTAAAACGAACACAGATGACAAACTGAAATAAGAATAAACATTTAAAAGGTGAAAGAGAAACTAAAATAAAATCCTTTAAAGATAAATACTTAAATCTCAAAAATCCAAAACCTCCAATAGATTAAACAACTCGGGAATCCATCTCTAGTGGACCCATAACAAAAATCCAAACTGAAATAAAACAACTGAAAGAACATCCTGATATAAGCTATGGAGATAAGTCCTACTTCGTCGGTAGAGTGAATAGTAGTCTCTGCTCAGCACGATCAAGCCTAAGTCTGGAACTGTCGTGTACCTGAAAAATAGAAGTGGGTCAGGCCCACGCGCAAGTTCTATACTATTACAATCCAAGCAGAGACCCGATACGCATGTACATCCTAATCAATCCAACAATAAATAAATAGTCTGTGAATATGTGTGTGTGTGTGTGTGTGTGTGTGTGTGTGTGTGTATATATTCACACTACAGGACTCTCACTGGACTACAGGCCCGTCTCAACCTGACTAGTAGGCACCATACAAAATGCACCTAAGGTGGGCATGATTACCTAAACCTAGCAGGGTACACATCCAACCATCATAGCCAGCTATGCATCCCAATGCATATACGCTCCCTAACCAACGACTCTGAGACTCAGGCTCATATCGTGACACCATAAAAATATATTTAAATTCCATTCCAAACCAAAGTGTCACTCAACTTTTTCGTGATCTGACACAAAATACAGGTAGGACTTAACTTTTGTAGTTAATCCATCCATTAATCCAGAGTAGGTAGGACTTAGCGTTTTTGAGCTAATCCCCCTAGTATGTCACCGTCCCATACCGGTGCATACCATCCATCTATCCAGTGTTGATAACATAAATGACAGTAAACATTTCAATATCAACATATCCAATATAAGTATAACAAGAATGTATAAATAACATGTTTGTTCAATACTACCAGTATATGATTCACTACAATTTAAAATGCAGAGATATAACAACAACCATTCTATATCCCACAATAAGCATAATAATATCAATAATATAATTAACATGCTTACTTGTAATTACTCCACAACATCCCATAAGTTGATACAAACAATACTTTGTAAACTAGTTTCTTATTAAGCATTAACTGAATTTATATTAGTTGACATGCTTAATTCCATACCACTGTTACATGATTTAAATATAAAATTCTTAATTCAATTGCTAAATTTAAAAATAAGCAACTTGAATTGTCTGTAGCAAAATCGTCACACAAACTTTCTTAAGTGTTTCCGACCGTTCCTACCTTAGCTTCTTATGGTGCTTTATGTATCACCATGTCTTCTGAACTTTTATCAAGGATTTATACATTACTGGACATCCTTAAAACTACTCTTGAATCAGCCCGGAACCTTAAAAATTTAACCACAGTAGCCTAGGTTCGCAGAAAAATCAAGAAAACTGGAAAACGTTGAAGGAGCCGGCTCCAACTTGGAGCCGGCTCCAAACATGTTGGAACCGCCTCCAACTCTCTTTGAGCCGGCTCCATGATTCCATGGAGCCGCCTTGTAATACCCCTAATTTTAAAAGGATAGTCCTGGAATTTAATTTAATTGTTTATGTGCATTTTTAATAAATAAATTAATTATTTGCTTGTTTGCCTTGTTATTAGAATTACTTGTTGATTAATTTATTTAACCGTGTTTTATTTTTCTTTAATTAAATTAATTATTTTCTTTTATTATTATTATTGCTTTCTTTTAATTTAATTGTTTTAATTGGGTTAATTATTTAAAGGCGTAAATTGGAGTTAGGGTTTTAAGTTTCACGATGTAGCCGACTTAATATTTAATTAATTATACGGTTTCATTCTTGGATTACAAGTAGAATTAGGGTTGTGTTTTAAAAACACACACCCCTATATAAATACATGTATAAGTTCTGCCTAAGGTTTTAAAAACCCCATACACGTAGTGAAAGGGCAGAGAGAAACAGAGAGAAGAAGTTGAGAGAAACAAAGAGTGAACCTTTAGAGGTTTACAGAGGGGTTCAAGGAGGAAGAAGTGGAGTGCTTCTGGGTTGAACCAAGGGCACCGGAGGAGTAGAACAACAGTCGACGACGTTGACGGACAACTCAGAGACTGTGGAATTAGAGTTTCAAATCTGAAACTCAAAGGCAAGTTTTGTTCTTATCTATCCCTCTAATCTGTGTTCTGTGCATGTTTAGGAAGACTCCAGGGATTAAACTAAGGTTTAATTATAACTTTTATGCATATTTAATCAATGTTTAAATTCATGGAATTGAACCTGTTCTTCGTTGTTTCAGAATGATAGTAAAGAAACTGTAGTTCTGTAACCTTGTTCCGTTGTGTAGTGATTTGTTTTCAATTCAAGTTTGATGGTATATCATTGTTTTACAATCAATCTGGAACTGAATTAGACCTTAAAACATGCACTAAAAGTTACTACAAGAACTGGTACTCACAGAAATCAGATAAGACAACAAAACGGACGAAACTGCTAAGGGGAAAAGGGAGCAGGCTCTAAAAAACCCTTAGAGCCGGCTCCTAGAAGGTAGAGCCGGCTCTATTAAGAAAAGAAGAGCAGGCTCTTCTAATTTCTAGAGCCTGCTCTCTCTTAAAAGGTCCAGAAACTGATTTTTTTGTGGTTCGTTTGGCTGAAATTGAATTTTCTGGAACTGTTTGAAGCTACTGAATGTTGTAAATATGTGTTTAAGACTTATAATAATGTTAAAAAGCAAACTCACATTCAGTTATTGAGGACATAAATTAATTTAAGATCAAATAGAGGGCTCGTAGGTTAATGGTTAAATATTTACATTACACTGCTTACTGTTTTAGCAATTGATTTTATTGCATGATCTTAAATTATGAATCATATTTGTTAGTTATGTTAAGAGCATATGACTGTTAAAATATATGTGTTCTTAGCTGGAATTAACTGATGTTTACAAACTGAC